AAACTGCTTGAAATAGACATTTCAACTCACCGAAAATAGACCTGTTAATATCAAACTGAATCTTCCGACCTGCTCTCCTTTCAAATCAATTTCAAAAAGTGACCGAAAGCTTAAATAAACCTACACGAGTACTAACGACACAAACTTTCGACCAACCAAATAACTTCGTCAAAGTCCGTCAAGTCCGTCACGTGTCCTATATAATTACCTGTCACTGACCACAACTCGCATACCAAACGCCACGTACAATACATACATTTACTGCATACTTCCCACCTCTCACAATGGAAAAGTGTGGGCAATAAATCACTTGCTACCACAGTCCGGCCACTGCACACATAATCCCCTTTCAAGGCCAATCATGATTTCATGACCATGAAAGGGGGTGTGCCCAGTGGACTGTGACCACAATGCTGTAAGAAAGGGGAGATAATCAATCAGTGAGTAACGATGAAGTCAATACAGTAGAGGATAAACTTAGTTGACACATTTAAAATAAGGGGAAAAATGAAAGTTAAAAATGGTAATTTCATGATTGAAAAACACAAACAGATTTCCTTATCACGTGAGAGGATAAGCAAAAAGTTTATAATCTTAAGGAACTGTTCCTTTATACAAAATTGCACATTCAAATATACCATTCATTGAAAGAACTGGAATCCCTTAGGGATTGATAAACCCTTACATTGTATATATGAAAATGGTTTCAATATCCTGTACCTTTGCCACATCTTGAAAATTAAACTGAAAATGTAGTCAGAAATTCAACATTGTTTCCCGTATTTTGAACAGACACTCCTTACCTTCCCTGACACTGGACCTGGATAGTAATCCAAAAACACTTGTATCCATTATGAAGGATACACTCAGACTGGGCTATTGAGAATCTTACCTGGTTATGATTAGTACTCACTCACATAGGTACATGTAAATTATCTGCAGTGTAGGGTAGGTAAAAAGATTGTCCAGGTGAACATTTTTTACTCAACTTTTCTGTTTTGTTCGAGTTGGGAAGCATGCAGTAAGCCAGTTATTGCATGATTTCTCGTCACTCGGGACTTATTACACCCTCGCTTCGCTCGGGTGTAATAAATCCCTTGTTACTCGAAAACCATGCAATAACCTTTACATATACGTATACGTACACACAAAGCGCCGCGCCCGCATGAATATATACCGCTCGGAGCGTAAAGATAAGACGTCTTGCGTCGTGAATTATATAAACAAGGACATTATTACAAATATTTCATTCATGAATTAATGTGTATGAATACATATACTATATAGCATGAATACAACATATTACAAACAATACATTCAAACATATATTATATCATATGAATACTTTTAATTGAGCAAATTATGCCTAAATAAATCGACCCTGTTACATTATTTCACCTGGAGTAACCAGATTTGGTATGCGATTACATCTTGGAATGCAGAGAACAAGAAGTATACCACTGTGACCTATACTTTGACCTTTGATCTCAACCCTTGAAATAGTTTGTCCCGGTCATATCTTCTACACTATTTCAACCGGAGTAACTAGATTTGATTTGCACGTACATCTTGTGGGATGGCGGAATGTCAAATAAAATGCAGACAACTGTAACATATGCTTTGATCTTTGACCTTATCCTTTGTAAACTTTTATTTGTGGAATACCTTCCACTCTATTTCAACTGGAGTAACCACATTTGGCAATCTAGTATGTTTTGACTGGCGGAATTTGGAGTACAAGAAGTATGTCACTGATACGTATATCCTGTGATAGAAGAGAGTAATCTTTACCAGTGGTTGACTATGGATTACCTTGCAATACTTTGCCTTGTGCATTTACCAAAACACTCTCTAAGAACTATTCCTGTAGTTTTAGTCGCAGGCGGGTATAACTCTGACGACATATCTAGTTTTGCGTTAATATAACTAAAGTGCTAGTGGGGACCGAGGGCAGTGGTTGGCCCGGTGGCCGTTCAACCTCAGAACGCTGTTGTTGATCGTAAGTTGTCTCATAACTACTCCGCAAAGTATGGCTTAATTTTCATAAATGACATATCAGAAGTTTCCAATGAACAACTTTATAGTTTAATCGGTAGTTCGGGGATCCTTGAAGACACAATTCATACTTAATTTACGCTCGGTACATGTATTTATCCCGCGGTGTTTGTTTCGGTCGACTTGACAAACCTCTGAAGTCAGTGTTAACAGATTACACTGATCACAAGCTTGATGATAACGCCCGAAGTTTGCCAGGGTACTAACACAAACGTAACCTCGGCAGTAACCGAACGTTATCACCTTCGTCTGGTCACCGAGACGGTTAATATAAATCAGACATAAATCGATTTTCTGCCATTAATACTAAGTTAATCAAACCTCCAAGAATGTGTGGACATTTAAATGTCGTATCAAGGTGCGTTCGGTGTTTACTGTATAAGTTAACTATATCTGGAGGTAACTTTCACATTTGCCTACGTGCTCAGCTCATCGACCACGTGAAAAGTCTCATGTAGAGAATTTCAAAATACAGGTCGAAGAAGATAATTAATAGTAAGCCGAAGCTAAACATAAGAAAATGTCAACGAAAGGTGCGACAATTTTGACCCTTGACCACCAATCGCTGACCAAAACAATTTTGACATATTTCGACAAACCAATCAGAGATGGGTAACGGTGTACACCTGAATATTTCGGTCATGCTGTTCCTGTTCTGATGCTATATAGACATGTTACTCAGGCGAGGCCACGTTCAATAGAGCTTATCACGGCGAGATTAAACTCGGATTCCTTGGCTTTTAATGGGAATAGCGTACACTCTCATATCACACGACCATCCTAGTCTTACAAATATTCAATATTGCACCACAGTTTATATTCACCACCCAAAGACTCGAATACATCATGTAAAGGTGTATATAAATCACATCTAATGCTCCTTCACTCTTCGGGAAGACGCCGTACAGTTTCTTGTTGCACATATCAGTTTTCCGAATTATTTCATCTTCGTATGGAAAACTGTGTATTTGGTATATACAAAGTAACATGTATGTAGAACTTTACCCCCTCCCCCCCCCCCCCCCCCCCCCCCTCCTCAAACTATTATAATCGATAGGAATAAAGCTTCCAGGTACGTTTCATCAATTTCATACAAATTCAAAACTGACATAATCAAATAATTTGAATACTTTATACACTTACTTCAAAAATAACTTGTCTGCGTCATAGTTGTACCTTTCACCCCTAACTGAATTTGATGAAGTGACGTCATGTCCATTTATTTACAATTATTACGTCATTATTGAACGCTACAATTGATCCACTACAAACACGTGAGCGATGAGAATTTATAAGAAACATCAAAGTGTCTGTAGTCCACGATTGTGTGTGAAACTTGTAGGCATTAGTTTGATTGTTGCTGTTAGAAGCATCTAATGACGTCATCATATTTACCATGGTGACGTCCCACTGACCTGACAGAAATTGTCACTCCGTTGACCAGTCTGAGTACTTTGTGAGTAACAAAAAGTGTTGACATATCAGAATTACTCCATTTTGTAAAAAAAAAAAAAAAAAAAAATCTGGAATTTAACACCTGTATCTTTTCACCTGGTAGTCATAAGTAGGTCACCGTGGTGTTAATTACACTATAATCATAATTAATTATAGAAACCATGGCGACGTTACGTCATTATTCTTCCTGTCCCTCTGGGTTATGTCTGACTTACCATTGTCTGCATAAGACAGGATTAACAATGACGGTGGCTGATATGTGCCATTTCGTTATTCGCAGCGAAAAAAACTCTCGTTAAGTATGTTTGTTGATTAACATTGTACATCTTCGTAATTTCATAGACGGCGATAAATATACGTGTATATATGTGGCTTTATACGTCACTATATGGACCCAGATTAAGTTTGTACTTATACATTCGACTAAAGGCCTTAAATACTAGAGCTGGATGGTTTGTGGGTTGGTGTTTTACCACCGGTAATCTGTATTATCTCGATGTAATAAGACATAATTTTGTTAAAAAAAATTGGTATACGATTTTATTCGGTTTTCGAGAATTACTTTTAAAACTGGTCAGAAAATTTATTGTCATTTCTTGATCAAGAATGGATTCTTCCAAAAGTGATGTTATCGGTCGTAGATTATTAGACTATATTTGCTTATGTGACCCTTTTTTCTCTCTCTCTCTCTTATTTAGACAGATGTCGCTCCAGTGGTTTCAATGCTTAAAATGTGAAAATATATTGTATGTCTGTTACGTATACATGTACATTTGAAGCCTTTTATAGTTTTTTTAATTTTATATCGAGTTCAAACTTATAGGTTGTTATGAAGTTATGGTACGTTCACGTATATTTATGTGTTTGCAGACGAGGATGAAACCCAATTTATTTTGTTGTGTCCAGTTTACTCGGAGCTTAGAACCGAATTCATTAAACCCTATTATTTCCGTCGTCCGTCCGTCTATAAATTGATACAAATATTCGCCTGCAAAAATGTAAAACAATTGAGAAACCTTAGTAAGTATCTATTTCAGTCTACTTCTAAAGGAAAGTCTATACTTAATATCTGAGCAGTCGTGAATGTTCCGGCTTTGTGCCACTGACAATGATTATATATTTACTTTTGTATGTTGTCAACACTGCTATGATGTCATCTTTTATCTTACTCTATGTTCTCCGCCATCTTACATAAATGGATTGTAATATTTACTTGTATGTGCTATCTGTTGCATTTGGAAATAAAGAAATTGAATTGAATTGTTTGCAGACATGTAGAGTGTAAATACTATTAGTGGTTTGCATTTAGTATAACATTTATTCAGTTTCTTGTGTTACCCGAGGGCGAAACAAAACATTTCCTGAAGAAAACTAGTGAAGGTACACAAAAGGTTGTGTTACAATAAAGGGGAGAGCTAGGGTGTCAAACGGTGTACCAAGCTCTTGTGTAGAGTTTGGCCCTACAAAGGGATCTACCTGTACAGGTAAAATTTCACAAGTGAAAGGTTTTACGTGTGTGCTTACCTGTGGCAGTTAACACATCACTGCATCAGTCTATATATCTATATATACCTGGCCCTTCCTGACCCGTAGAGCGGCACGACACATACCTGTACTTACCTGTACTTACCTATGTGTTTACTTTGCCTGCATTTGAAGTCGAGGTAGATCACAGGTACACAAGTGTGCGTGGGACTCAACTAAGATGGCGGACAGAGTTTGACAGGGATGTAAAGTTCTAGAAATTGAAATCAGTCGGCAACAACATTCAACATGGGATTGTAAGTACATCTATACCATTTTATTACTAACAAGCATTTTTATCACGTGAACTTTACTTGAAATGTTTAAATCGTGAAATCTAATTCTGTGGTACTGTACAGTGTTCAGTACACATGCAGTGTGTTTAACAACAGTTTTTATGGCATTTGAACTGAGACATTCGGGGTATGCTGACACGTTTAACCAAACCACAGCCATTCAGAAAGTAATTAATGTACAAGTAGTTAAATGGTGAACATTCATCATTCTGCTATGTTGAAGGACGTGATTTTCTTTTCATCTTGAGAAATAGATAATCCGTTATGTGGACTTTTGTGTTGAAACTCGAATTCTGGCATTTTCTTGACCCTTAGTATTTGAGGTAAAATGAACAAAAATGTATGTATGATCCTGTTTTGTTAACGATGTCCTTTGTGGTGGTTGTAATAGTTAGGGTGGCCTGGCCATGTTTCGGTGAAGAACACGCATAAAAGATCCGATGTTTTCTTAAAGCCATGTTTACATCAATAGACTGGGTGAAGCATTCAAGTGGAAAGTATAGCGACATTCCTTCAACTTTGTCCCATTTCTAACCATTCCATCACGGGCGAACATAAACGCTTTTAGAACATTTTTATACAGATTTTCCTCAATCTTTGAGGCATTAATTTCCATTATAAGTCGTATTCGTACTTCACCTAAATACAAATCTCCATGAACTATGTATCTTACCAAGGTATAAGATTGGGTTTTTTCCACAAAATGTTTTAAAGGTTGTTGTTTTTTTGTCCTTGAACAACGCGGTACACAACCAGTTATTACATTGTACAAGTTAACTCGACGTTTTGTTAATCAAAAGTTCATTAATTTACCAGTTAATTACCCAGAGACGTCTTAAACCATACACGTCTATGACTAACCTATCTTACACAGGAGCTCACCTGTCTGAAATGTTAATGTCAATCATGAAATACTTTATATCATACCTGGATAAATATCACCACGTACCATACAGAATGACTGATTGGTCTAAGTACGCTTCCTCATTTCTTTTGAAATACTTGATTCTTACGTACAGTTTGATAATGTTAACATGCGGATTACTAATGATAACAAAACCGTGCGGATTAGGATTAAAGAGATTAAAATGTCAGATCCAAAGACGTGGTGGTGGGTTCAAAATTTCCTCACTTGTGGGAAGGGGATGGGTACCATTTTTAAGTTGATGTTGGCCGTGATGTTTGCGCCTTGAACAACACCTGAAACCCGCAGATACATTTTATATACGTCAGCCCGTGGGGGTCCAGATCTAGACGTGTTAGTAATAGATAAATATATATATAATGTTTCTTTATCTGCATTTTGTGTAGTATCAATGTTAGCGAGGGTTGACCTTAAAACATGTCCTTTATACACTAAACCAGTGAGCGGTATATATCACATTTGGTATTTGTAAATGACGTCACTTATCTTAGACAACCTTTGAAGAGATATTAAACTTCAGCGCGTGGGGAGATTCAATAAATTACGTAGTCCTCATCGCAACTCCATACATTGACTATCTTGTTCTTTCTGTTATCAAATTAGTATGCCCTTGTGTATATATATATATAATAGAATTCGGTACAATGTCCCTTGATCATTTATATAATATATATATAAAACCGTGATATAATGCCATGTTGTTATATAGAAAAAACATAATATTGGCGGTATAACGAAAATTCACTATACAAAGTCAATGGCAATTTTACAATAATGTGTAGGACGGAGGTCATCACGTCACCCTTTCGTCTGCAGGCCAATCGGTATGTGTAACGGAGCTGTGGATAGTCTGTGGTCAAACACCATACTTGCATGTAGCTATGATTCATTGTAACTTTCTTAGCCAATCAGAATCGAAACATTATTAAGGTAATCTCCAAAATCCGATTAAGGTAAACAACCGCAACGTAATATTTAAATTAAAGTGGTCGGTTAATCTTCAAATGTCACATCAGTTTAGATTCCATTTTTATTACGTAACTTAATCTAATATATACGAGCCAGAGGCTCGCTAAATTGGAAAATTCTTAGACTCGTTTCATAAATCTCATATGAAACGCTAACTCATGTAATCAAGATTTGTGGTATTTATTCGTGTAAAACGACAATTTCCATGCAACCTTGAAATGTAAAAAAACAACATTTTAACTCCGTTGCGTAAGTCTGTGACGTCATGTACTTGTCCTAGGCGTGACGTCACAATTGAAACAATTGAAACTTACAACCAATCACAGGGCTGATAGGTCGTATTTCACGGGTTAATATTCACTGGATAACAAAGTACATTATGTGATACAATAAGACACAGAGCGGCTTTGGGTACAGTGTTGTTACCACTCCGCGGAGACATTCGGGATTTGTGCCCATTGTATAAAATACACACTGATTCGTTGTAAGTGAAGAAAATCAATTTCTTGGACTTCCAAGGTTTACAGGAAGATCATATCCAATTTAGATTAATTAAAAATTCAATACCATTTATCATCTGAAATAAAGGAGTTTACATGAAGATTATATCAAATCTTAATTAAAATTCATTCGACAGATAAATTTCCCGATTTATGCAACAAGACAGTGTCTACACGTAAGCAAGTTCATGGCTATTTATATATGTTCAGTTTGGTAGGTGCCCGGATCACGTTGAATCGAATCCGGTGGTAAATTAGCTGCTAAACAACTCATGGTTGTATCAATATATCTGTGAAGGGAGATTGACATTTCTTTCGCATTTGTGCATGTCTAAACACCTTTTACCATACATCTTCAAATAAACTATTTTTATCTGACCGTTTCCGTGAATTTTGTACCCATAGCGATAGAAATTGTCATTAAAAAATCTTGTGCGTTTATGTGTGCATTTCCTCCATAACTCTGGCCCTATTGCCGTTTTCAACGTAAGTAAAGTAATGTATTTTTATTAACAATATATTTCGTGTTATCTGTTCAGCACATTTTTTCATAAATACGGTAAAGTCACACCGACAGAGAACGTTCCCCTTTACTTGCAGTTACATAGTTACCACGGCCGTACGATAGTATGAAGTACAGACTGCCAACATTACGTCAATATATACACTCGAGATAGCGCGTGTCCCCGACAGGTTGGGGGAGGGGGAGGGGCAATACGAGACAGAAAATGTAACACCGATAACGTATTACGTACACTGCCGCCTCTTTCACTCCTACCTCAGTGTTTCCACGCATATATATATTTGACGTCACGGGTTTACCGTAACTTTGATATCGTACGAAGGTGTCTAACTTAGGGGAATTGCAAATCCTTCGTTTATTGACATAAAGTTTAAAGCCCATCAGTATACACACTTATGTTCATCCTAACATAGTAACATACATATAACTATATACGCAACACCACCACCAAACCCATCCGATGCCAGGTCCCCGCCCCTCCCCTACCCTCACACCCACGTCGACCTCCGTCTACATCCATATATAAGACAGTCAAATTTATTTCGTAACGGTCAAAAATACTCATATAGTTATACATGGGAAACAGACAGATTAGTTGACTTGTCAGTATGACAACAAATTAAATAGATTTGTTTTTATGTTGAAATGCAAATTCGTTGATGTTACGAATCCAGGTCACATGGACCGGAGAATTTATTACAGCTGTATTTTGACCTAAACGGAGCTGTTCAGAGTAATTTTACACGTTTTAGGTTTTTATATCAAAACCCTAAAACGTGTACAATTTCTCTGAATACCTAATAAAGCCGTTACAAATTCTCAGGTCCCTGAGATCCAGGTGTGGAGTGTGAAATATATATTTATCAACCTTTATCGTAATAAAGAATAATCGATCGTATCTATAGATAGGCTAATCTCAGTATATCGCCATATTACATATTTACATCTGTGTATATAGAAACTTGTATATTACCAGAAGGTGTAAAGACCCACGTGATGTCCCCCCTTGATCTTCAAGCGACATTAGTAATCTAGGTTTTATCAGAGATGTGTGTGTGTACGTGTTGTTCGTCTCTGGTCTTATGCGGAAAACCTGACACGTCCTTAAATGACCATAGCTTTAATTAGGACGTAAAACACGGACAAATCCAAAACAGTTTATGACGTTTATCTTTATATTGAACTGGCTATATTGCAAAACATTTATATAATAAAAAGATAGCAAATATGCCCGCCGATAAGTTATTAAAGTTCGGTGGTATTAAATAAGGCGAATCAAGGTGACCCTCACAGTTAGTTATCGCCCTTAGCAGAGGCTATAGTGTTGCCTAGGATCGAGTAGTTATCGCCCTTAGCACAGGCCATAGTGTTGTCTAGGATCGAGTAGTTATCGCCCTTAGCAGAGGCTACAGTGTTGCCTAGGATCGAGTAGTTATCGCCCTTAGCACGGGCTATAGTGTTGTCTAGGATCGAGTAGTTATCGCCCTTAGCACGGGCTATAGTGTTGTCTAGGATCGAGGAGTTATCGCCCTTAGCACAGGCTATTGTGTTGCCTAGGGTCGAGTAGTTATCGCCCTTTGCACAGGCTATAGTGTTGTCTAGGATCGCGTAGTTATGGCCCTTAGCACAGGCTATAGTGGTGTCAAGGGTCGAGTAGTTATCGCCCTTAGCACGGGCTATAGTGTTGTCTAGGATCGAGTAGTTATTGCCCTTAGCACAGGCTATAGTGTTGACTAGGATCGAGTAGTTGTCGCCCTTAGCACAGGCCATAGTGTTGTCTAGGATCGAGTAGTTATCGCCCTTAGCAGAGGCTACAGTGTTGCCTAGGATCGAGTAGTTATCGCCCTTAGCAGAGGCTATAGTGTTGCCTCGGATCGAGTAGTTATCGCCCTTAGCACAGGCTATAGTGTTGCCTAGGACATGTTACCTATTGGGATTTCGTCAGATTTTTCTTTTGTGTTGTGATAAGCTTCGTGTATCCCGAATAATGATGTTTCACAATTTAGGCGAAGATTTCAGGATAACACATAAATCTTATACATCATTGCATCTAAACAAAATATAGTTATATCAGCGACGTATATACTACTGGCGTTATATGTCTGGTTATATGTAGTTAAAAATTAGCCGGTGATGACGTCACAGTAACACCGTACACGGGGGGAAATGAGATTTGCGTTCGACTTTTCGAAAGTTTTTTGTTCGGGACGATTCGAAGATAAGAGTTAAAGTGTTATGGAAATTGTCAAAGCTGTGACACGATTTAGACCCGAAAGAGCGTTCTGCTAAAACCACCCGACAACAATCAAGGGACGCTCCCGGTCAAGTATTACGTCATCTATGGTTGCGTCACCTTTAAACCTAAATGAACGTTTTACCTAACAATAGAACACATTCACACGTCACAGTGGAGCCAAACCTCAATTATCCAAGTCAGCCATTTGTTGGGATAGGAGAAACCGTGATATACTGTTACTGAGACCTATAGCTACTCACTCAGGTAAAACCAGTGACCTATTTACTGTTATACACAATTTTATTTAAATATAGTGTAATCACTCATTGCGTATCTACGGTAGCCAGGAGTTGTTACACCGCTTGCTTTGATATCCATGACCACCCTTTAGGGACACAATGTTATCATGTAGTGTATATGGATGAAATTTAGAAATGGTTCCTGAGCCTATAGCGAGTTGGAAAATATAATGTAGGTCCTTTTGTGACAACCTAATGTGGTCACGCGCATGGTGTCCTCGAAATAATGCAACAGTGGTTTAAGTACATTATCTGCCATGCAGACGAAAAGTTCTGTGTGTGCTCCAGAAGAAAAGTTAAAACGTATGCCAGGACTGTGCTTGTGGTAATTGTTAACGTTCTTTTATATATGTATACTAGTGTATATGTAGCTCAACATTCGATAAGCTGATGTGGTCACGATTTAGGGAGAAATAGCATATACTCCGCAATAGATAAATTTATTTAAGAACTCATTAAAATTATGCATACAAGCACAGTCATACACGAATAAAACTAAGATCAAGTGATACTGAAGGCAGGCCAAACACCGAGTGTTGCTTGTCGGTAGCACAGGGACCTGCAAATTTGTTACAGCTATATTTGGACCCATGCTAGATAGTGTTCAGAGTAATTTTATACGTTTAGGAGTTTATATCAACCTTCGGTAAAATTGCCACCCCCAATGATGATAACTTCTAAAACGTGTAAAATAATTCTAAACACCTTAGTTAAGGTCCAAATATATAGCTGTAACAAATTCACAGGGCCCTGTGGTCGGTAGATAGAAATCAGTGGAACAAACAAACACTGTTTCCAATTTATACCCGAACAGTTTCGACGATCACAGAGGCCCCTTGTATGTATCCGGTTTCAATATACAATGTAATTATTTCAAAGCCGGTTTTAAAATGTGAAACGAGCTATTTTTATGTAACAGGATATGATGATGATTTTTTTCTTGTGTGCCATCTTACAGTAATATAACATACTGATAAAGAAAAGCGTGTGTAACGATTACAGTGTTGTTACTATGACGTCAATATAAATGATAGACTGGCTCAAATTCTGTAGAAAAAAACCCATTCTCCGGTAGTGTGTTACAGCCATGCTGGATGATAAAAATCAAATGTATGTTCGCGTAAATGTTATGTAGAGTTTACCAAACAAGTTAGATATTTCCATATGTTAAGAACTTTGCACAAGGATTGCATCCTGTTTGTACATATATCTTTTATTTGTTTATAAAACCGAACAAGTGTTCGTTTCAATATATTATGCGATTTTGTCCATCAAACTCAAAAAGCCTCAACCCTATGCAGAACTGATGCCGACTTTTTTAGTACTGAAATACCGTGTCAACAAGGTCACATTATACTGACAGAGGGTAAACCAGCCGCTGTACTTACCCTAAATGCTGAACTAAGGACTTTTGTATGATTAACCGATTGAGCTATACCTTGATCAATGGTAATACCCTGACAAGTCACGCGCACCCTACTGTTTGGCCAAAATAAATGAAAGGGGAGGTTACTGTAAGTACATGCGTACGCTTGACTGCTATGGAATTCCTTTGTTTTCCTGCAATGAGGCAGGATCTGTTTTCCTGCAATGAGGCAGGGATCCTTAACTATCATATACATGTACTTTTGTACACCGTAGGGTGGTCGGATGACACAGCGGATAACGCACTTCCCTTTCACCTAGATAGTCGGGGTTCGGTCCCCTGATCCGACGTGAAAAGGTACAAGTTTATAACTTGCCCGACCACGTGAGCCTTAACCGGGTACTTTGGTTTCCTCCGATATAAAGACCCCCCCCCCCAAAAAAAGCACTTACTTAAATAAAGTTTACATTTTACACATACATTGGGAAATGATACAGAAACCAGTGAATAAATCATTTTATTTTCAATTGAAATTTAACATATGATTTCGTCAGGTATAGGAGAACCACATTATACATGTTTCTACACCCATCACTGATCCCACCGTTACAGGATAGCATATGTTTGCGTTGGTTCTGTATATGTAAATAAGCTGGAATTCACACAGAACTTTATGTAGATTTAGCCTTATATATTGGGCTCGTTCTGATAACACCATGTTTACCTGCATCAGGTACGTGTTTCAACATAAAAGGAAACGCAAGATACATATTTATGGGGTATACCGGATTTGTACATGTATTCGTATTGGCACCGTCCCAAGATCTACCACGAATTCCTCGGTCTCCAGCGATTTTATAGCAGATATGTATAAGAAAATATCCCCTTGGGTCTAAAGTTTATTTCCTTTATTTTGAACGTACAGTTGTGACAACAAACATATTTTATGTTTTGTTTGTTGACTCGGAAATCACAAACACAAGAGAAAGAACGCCGTCCGACGGTGTGGATTTTTCACCATTTGAACAGCAGTGACATAATTTTACTGCAAGATGTAGTCTGGATTTTTCCTACGTTTTCTACTTTGCCCGTATACGTATATCTCTGCTGCGGTGTACATACACGTGCTGTGTTACGTATGCTTACCCAATATGTTGCATAAAAACGCCGTTTAGAGGTTAAAATTAGTAAGCGTCTGATGTTCAAACTTCAAAAAGCGCGGTGATCATCTTTAACCTCAATACACGTAGATTTGGTTTCTAGCTTGAATCATTTTGAAGATACATTTGATACAACTTTTACCCTAATACGTCAAAATTCTAGTGAAATTCGACAACCCTGGCTCCCAGTTATTGAAGCACACATTAACAAACTGTATTCAGCTGCCCAATACACGTCCTATAAAGCCATATCATGAGTGTTTAAAGTGTCCTTTACAGGGCTATCCGATATAAACGACCTATAAAATAATACCGCTTGGTCCCCTGAAGCGAGGTGTTTAAGTTTGTGATCTGTGACATATCACACTGATGTAGAGTTTAACGCATGGAAATTTTATATTCGTCTTCTATTTTCCTGTTGGTTAGCTTAGAACGTCAATAATTAAAATGGTGGCCAGTCCAAACGCATTTTCATGGTTTCTGGGCTTTTCTGGTGGTTGATACTCTTTCATGCCCAAGGGTGTATGATAGGGTCATTCCACCCTTCGGGATTTTTAAATTTGGCAGAACCCTCGGCTTTAATTTTTTTTTTAAACCGGATGGAATTCCTTTATCCTACACCCCTGGGCATAAAAGAGTCTTATAATATTTTCCCTTTCTAAGTATATTCAGAAAAAAACCAATATGTTCTGTCGTATATTATGGGTGATTTTGACCCCCGGACACTTTCATATTTTTAACTTTAAGGATTATGCAAACAACATTAATTTAAAATCTTACCCTGATATATCAATGATTTTTTATAATAATGTTAACTTTGAATCAGGTATATTTTCATTATAATGTAAAATCTTAATCAATGTTTAGTTCCTAAGAATAACAATTTTGAATAAGCTGTATTTATTTTTAAAGTGAGGCAACATTTAATCAATTAATTGTTTTATAATAAGGTAAAAGTTTTAGTCAATGATATTTTCACGATAAAGTAAACAGAGGCTTAAAGTGAGATATCGGCAATTGGCTTTAAAAATGGGGAGGGAGATTTTTGACAATATTTTTGTCTGAAACAATACACTACAATGCAGATATGATTTTCTCTTTGCAGTCTCGAAGACGTCAGCAAACAAGGCTCTTCTGTCATCAGGACCACCCTTAGCGACGACACATCGATACACGTTCTGAACCGGAAGTTCTGTGTTGTCTCCCTTATCATACTTGCGCTGTTAGTGTGCGCAAAACAGTATGTCGGAGAACCAATTCAGTGTTGGTGCCCCGCCGAATTCGCTAAATTTCACGTGTCTTACGCCAACAGTTACTGCTGGATCAAGAACACATATAGCGTCCCATTCGACGAAATACTTCCGGTAGAAGATGTCGAAAGAGAAGATACTGAAATAGAGTACTATCAATGGGTGCCGCTCATCTTCGTTTTTATGGCCTTCCTGTTTTACTTACCAAAAATATTCTGGAAGGGATTTTACCCTAAATCTGGCATCAACATCAAGAAGACCCTAAACCTCGCCAGCGATGCAACATATCTGGGGCCAGTGAAACGGGCTGAGAGGATGGTCGACATAGCGTCCTACATTGATAAATGGATCGAGATCAGAGACGGGAGGACTTCCGCCTACCAGCGCATGCAAGCGTTCAAGGAGACTTTAGGACATCGTGGCTGTCACTACGGGAATTATCTTACAATGATTTACATGGTAACGTGCGCCTTGTACACAGTGAACACCATTGGGCAGCTCTTCCTCGTGGATTCTCTGCTGGGCAATGACTTCCTGAGTCTTGGTCCAGATTTTGTAAAAGGAGTGTCAACCAATCAAAAGTGGGAAGACTTGAAGAGATTTCCTCGTGTCACCTTTTGTGATTTTAACATTCGACAGCTTCAAAATATCCAAAGATGGACCGTTCAGTGCTCTCTACCAATCAACTTGTTTAACGAGAAGATGTTCATCATTCTCTGGTTCCTACTGGTCATCATGTCCTTCGTTAACGCTGTCAATTTTATCTACAACTTCGCCATGCTCTTTTTCCCGCGGCGGAAGAACGAGTACATTAAGAGGTTCATCGACGAAGACGTGTTGTCACCGGAACTGCGAAACAGCAGTAGACTTTCGGATGTTCAGGTGAAGTTTGTGGACAAGTACTTGAGACAAGATGGCGTCTTTCTCATTTGGTTGATTAATCACAACACAAGTCCGGTTGTGGCGTCAGAAATCGTAGCCAAGCTGTGGAAGGATTATTGTGACAAACCGCACGTGAGGACCTTCTTGTCCCTCAGTTCAGATGCATGATTTTGTTTTTTCGTTTCACGTATGCATTTTGTGATGAAACCGGAAAATGTAAAGTGAGGTTGTTTGCCGATATTTGCCACTTCTCTACCGGAAGTGTTCGTCTGTATGTATTGTGATATATTTTTTTTTTATTTGTTTCGATATGGAAACGTTCAAGAGGAACAATGTTCAGGAGAGTTCGCCCGACGGTTACTACAGGAGGTGAAGTTTTTAAACGACATTGACATGTTATTTTCATGTCATGTTCCCTTGACATGTCATTTTGCAGAGAAATTTATTTTGTAGTTTGCGAGGACAAATATCGGAGGTGTTACGGAGTCGAACCCAGATACAAACTTAATGAAACATATTTTATAAAACCAGTAAAACACCCCATAATTGATCAAGTTTCTGATCATTTTAAAGGTCCCTGAGGACGAAGTTAAGCTTCTGGGATTACACTGTCTAGAAAATGGATAATCTTAAACAGTTTTTTTCTCGGGATAATCTTAGACTGATATTTCACCAATGCTATCCCCACCCCGGAATTTTATATGTACTGACAGAGTTTAATTTTTTGTTTGAAATCGAAAAGTTTAAAAATCCTTCAGCCATGTATTTAGTTATTACAATAAATTTTCGAGCCGTATATTAATCTGAAAAAAAAGTGTATACATGTATGTAGATAATTCACTACGTGGTTAACCTGTTAGAGTACCGTGAACGACTTGTGTCGTAATTATCGGTAACTGTGATGTTTAGCTGGGTAATTCAATGTTTATATCGTATGTATGTATATATATTGCTAAAAGGGAACTCCATTGTGATAAATGTATAGCATATTATTTTGATGAAAACAATCGCGACCATACCGACAGTGGCCCTCGCAGTTTTGTTTGAAACATCTCGTCACGTGCGGTTAATTGGTCCTTACACAGTATACGCCTGATCTGTTCTAGTTAACTACACACATAATAATTCCTACCTTATACTTTATACCCGTGATTTGTGTAAGAGTTATCTCCTTGGATATATTTGCCCCATACACATTACATTTGTATACATTTGTACCTGTGATTTTGTGTTATACCTATTTTTCATAAGTATCTATGCTTTACACTTTATACATATGATTTGTGTTACTTCCCTTGAAGATATATACTAACTTATACATTAAACCAATGATTTGTGTTTGAGTTATCCCCCATTGAACGTTTTTATTAGCATTATCTAGTAATTTTTAAAAGATTTAACTGCTTGGTATCAATGCTGGTATTTTGATAAAATGTATCTTGGAAATGTCTCATCAATTCATCAACCATCTCAACATAACCATTCGGTTCTTTATGTGTCATCAGTTAAGATCTCTTTATAAAACGAGAGCATTGTTAAAGTAAGGTAACATGCATCCTTAAGTAATATTAAATACATTAATAAACCTATAGAAGAAGTGTAGTTTATATCAAGGACGCGCCATATTGGCATGTATGCAATGCTTATTTCAAGTTGTGTGGGCTTTTTGATTGCTTTGTCCGTATAATGAATTAGTGTCCGCCTTGTACATATACAAATAAGAACAAAACATTACGTCTTCCATAATCACTCAAATACCAATATTGACTTGACATTTTATATTGAAGCTTGGCGATTACAAATATATCATTTTATATACATTTAGCATTCAGATCAAACGTGTATGTATACAGTGTAGCTATAACGCCAGCACTTCAGATCACAATATGTCTCCAGGCCAGTTGTCGTGAAAGACAGAGCCATTAGGTTCAGACTTCCCAGAATTAATGTTTTATCGTACATGTACATTAGGTCTTGTTTCATTTGTTTTAACAGCGAAATATTCATATCACGGATTCTGTAATTTTAATATGGGTTATTTGTAAAAAGCTTCTCCTTAATATGTACACAAACGCTATTTTTATATTCTATACTTAAAAGACTTTCATTCACAAATTATTTTATTACGGGTTTTTTTAATTTTAGTTGAAAAAAAAATTGGAAATAAAATAGCAGCATCTTTTTGGTAAAACAATGTATTTTATTTAAATCAACGCGGAATTTATGTTTACATCTGATCAAGTTAAATATAAAGTCTGAGGTTATATTATTTCTAGAGAAATTAAAGCCATCGTTATTATTTGTTTCGGTTTCCGATAATAAACAGGTGCTTTTAACTGTATGCTGAGTGGTAGAGCTGTATTAGAAAAATACTACCATTAAAATGAAATGTACTATAATAAAGAAAAAATCTTGTAATTACATGGTTTTGTTATTCTTACCAAAGATGACGTCAATAGCAGCCACGATAATTAAACTACTGAGAAAGTTGAATAAAAACAAAGTTACAATGGTGTAATAAACACGTAATGTTTGAGGTATTATCTTTTTTCAGAGGCTACGTGATTCTTGTTCGACTCTCGCTAGAAAAACGACCCAATTTATGTTAGGGTTACCTCCCTTTAATCATTTAACATCATTGTTCTGCATGTAAAAAATACATCTGAGCTATATCGAGGTTCGGCCCCCAGACTATCACCTTTACCGACAGCATCAACCAGTCAATGGAATCGTCTCGACACAACAATCCTTAACCGTGCCCTTTAAATACGTTTTTATTTTATGTATGTCGGTGTAACGTGAGATACATGTATGCATTAACAACAAATTTCATTCTGAATAGGTAAACAAAAAATTACATATTTGAAGCAACGCCGAAGAGAAAACCCACCATACAGAAACACCCAACCAAAAAGGAAACATACCACTAGCCCCCACTGGAATGCATCGAATTTAGGAACACACAATATGAGAGATACTGGAAACGTAAATATGTAAGTGGTTATCTTATTTTAGCGACGTTTGGGTTTTAAACGTTGCGCTAAATTACGATTGCGCTAACTGAAGTCTCTGTATTCCGTCTTTGCGTATTGCAGAGTTATCTTCTCTTGGGATCAGGTATTGATTGTTTCGTCATTGGTTTGTGAGAGAAAATTACGTCGTTTTCTCAAAAATTTATGACGTTACTCTCACAAACAAGTGACGTAACAATCAATACCTGCTCCCAAGATAAGATAACTCTGCAATACGCAAAGACGGAATATTGTTTTCTATTATATGTGCGCCAAATCGTCCGTGTGGTAATATGTGATAACTGATCATGCGCTAAAATGAAGTTCGCTAAAATAAGTACGATACTAGCTATTGAGTATACAATTATTAGGATGACTGGTTGTGCATGCACGCCAAAACGGAGGCACGGTAGTCCAGTGGTAGGAGGGTTGCGGGTTCGCGCCACGGCACGGCAATGTGTTGTATCCTTGAGCAAGATACTTTACTCTGCTTGTTCCAGTCACTCAGCTGTAAATGAGTACGTGTTTGGGCAGTGCTAGAATTGTTGAATGCTAGCTGTTAGCGCCGAAATGGTAGCTCCGGCTGTATGCTCCCCAGGGAGTTGAGAAATGTACTGGCTAGTTGCAAAGGCCCTATAACCACGGATGATAATTTGTGAACCGCTTTGAGACGACCTACGAACTAGGTTGTGATAAAGTGGTATATAAGAACCTCCAATTATTTTTATTTTTATTAATTATTATTATTAATTATTTATAATTATTATTATTATTAAAACAAACGTACACGTTTGATTAAGACGGTCATCAGTTTATTTTCTCGTCGTTATTTTTATGGTCGTAGAAGATGTTCCATAGATTCTCGACGAGGACGCTAGTGTACACGGCCCCGAGTTGATGACCCACCATAGATATCACAAACACTCCATCCACACCAAGGTAGGTGTCCGAGAACTCGTCAAATAATTCTCTGTCATTTCCGACATCTTGTGATGGGTTAACCGGATTTTCGCTACAGATAAGGAGTCTCTTGATAAGTACACTCCTGCGTCGTCTGATAAAAATTGTTAGGTTGGAAAACAAACTGATCAAGTTGACAATTGAGAGAATAACAAGCAAAAACCAAGATGCTAAGAAAATCTTTTCGTTGAATAGATTGTTGGGGAGTGAACACTGTACAGTATATGTTTTAACGTTAGTCATACGCCGAATGTCGGCATCACACAGTGTCACAGTCGGGAAACGCAACATACCTAGTCCATGTTGTTCGTAATTATTTTCAAACAAAATATCAATTCCAATTGTGAGAAATTCATTTCCTAAAATGTTGTCCAGCACAAATATTTGTCCAATAGAATTGAGGGCGTACAAAAGACAACAGAAAACATTAGCTCTTGCAAGACAGCTTTCCCGAGAAAATTCGAAACTAAACATGTTCCTACGCAACAACATTCCCCTGTTCGTCTTGAGCAGACGGTTTCGTAGCCATCTGTTCATTATGTGAGCGACTTTTGATTGGTCTTCTGTGTTGAAGCTACTTTGATCCTTTGTTAGTTTAGATACGAAACTACAACTTGAACTTGATTGAAACTCCATCCAGGCCCATTTGGGAACGACAAATAACACGCTCTGAGACAGGAGAATGATGGGCACCCACGGGTAGTAAGTTATCTCGCGTTCTTGCCTGTCTTCAGGGTAATGTGAAATGGTGTGTCCAAACGGAACATAATAGGTGTTTCTGACATAACAGTAGTTGTTTGTATATTTCACCTGTGTGTCGGTAAATGTGGCTGGACACCAACATTTGATCTGTTCACCAAACACTTCCTTAGCAACGACCACCATGGTTGCTAGGACAAACAAAAGCGAGCAATAGCTGCTGTTAAAATGCTGGACGAAAAATTCACAAACGTTGTTATTCGCCTTGTTGTCTTTGTCGCGGCCAACTGCTTTGCAGGCATCTTCATATCTAGAATGAGAATAACATTCAAATTATAGTAATGATAATTCGAGGTTCTTATATACCACTTTTTCACATCCTAGTTCATAGGATCTCTCAAAGCGGTTCACAAAGTATTATCTGCGTTATAGGGCCTTTGCAACCAGCCAACATCTTTCTCAACTCCCTGGGGAGTATACAGCCGGTACTGCCATTTCGGCGCTCACAGCTTGCACTCTACAATCCTAGCGCTTCCCAACCACGTAGTCATTTACAGCTGAGTAGACTGGAACAAGCGGAGTAACGTATCTTGTTCAAAGATACAACACAGTGCCGTGACGTGACTCGAACTAGCAACCCTTCGGTCACGAGCCCTGTGTCCTACCACTAGACTACCGTGCCTCCTTTAGAAATCAAAATATCAAAATACTGACTTTGGGTTAAATGTAATGTACCCAAGACCACATGTAGTGTCAAACAGTTCTAATCTTATTCAGCTTACCTAGTATTCTGTGCTAAATCATAACGTTGGCAACAAAATCTGTCATACACCAATTTATTTACTCTATACCTCTATACCATCAGTATAGTTATGATCGCGGATATTTTTACAAAAGTTTGTTTTACGAACACTGGACTAATTTTCAGCTTCAAATTAAAGTTAAAGCGTATATTGTGTCATGAAACTCCTTCAGCAGGCTCCGTAAGAAATACGGAGTACGGAACTATCTGCACTGTATTCTATATTCACTAATTCGGCACAGACAGCCAAACAAAGGATACGTGTCTGACCGAACCACGTGTTCGTTTTGTCCAGGTAAGACGCATTAGTGGAGTTAAGTGTAAAAATAATGAAATTTCATGTCTAAATAGATCCGAAGCCTAGATTGGTTTACAGGTAGAAATACATCAGAAGGTGACAAATGTATATGTAAACCTTACACATTAACACCTTCAGCTAAAAACAGATACGTTATTCTTAAACTAATGTTTTCTGTAAACTGCGCTACGGCCGATACTGGGGACTGCTGGTGCACGAGTATGTCAGCCACCATGTAAAATAGTCAAAACATACGTTAGGCTACAACATATAAGTTCTTTTCTAAATCTTTTGACTATATTACTCTAGATTAATTTTACACCAAACGTATTTGTCAAAAACACAATACTTACGATCCCATGTCTGTCAATACCACCGACAGTGACGAACGGCCTCCTGGACTGACAACGATCACATTCGGTCTCCACTATCTAACCTTCGCGAGGTCACGTTCTGAGGAGACGAGATCGGGCGTTTTAGTCCAAACATTATCATCTTTTAAAATTATGTCAATAAACATCGATATATCTTGCAAACATTGTACAATGAAATGAACTCACTATATCCGCTATGCACCAAAAACTATAATATAGACCAATTTTTTGGCAAAGCGTTACCAGTTTAGCTTTTTGTTGATTCGTTAGCGCATTGCCATACCCCGACAATAATTTTAAAACCCTTAAAAAGGGGACATTTTGATTTTTTTCCACAGAACAGTTGGACCCATAATTATTTTCAGCAAAACCTGGTATGCGGAAAATGCAATGAACAACCTTTATTCTAAAGGTATACGATTTAATTTAATTTAACACATTTTATAGTGCCAATTTAAATGTCCTTAGAATCCAGAAATGATATTAGGTGATTACTTCGATGTACATGAAAACCTGTTTGTTTGTTTGTGTGGTATTTAATGTCTCTGCAATAACAAGGTCACATGACGACGAATACCTACTGATACACATTTTTAAAAGCGTGGATTATTATCCGATACCAAGTGATACTTTTATTTCCAGATAGCGGGGTATATCTAGAATTATCTTTTCCGACCATAGTTAGAATTATCTTATTTCTCCACTCCCCGACACTCCTTGTCTCCCGAAGTCAAGGGTTTGTTACATAAAGCTATTTCCTGTGTATTTCACTAGCGCTTCAATACAGACTCTGTCATACATTTACTGTAAGTCACTTAATTTTTCGCGAGATATTATTTTTTCGTGTTAGCTCACAGTAAGACTCCCTCTCGAATTTACACTGGTCACGAAATTTGTTCTAGCGTTAAAAAAAAGCTATTGACAGTTTAAATTAAATAGTTTGCACCAAGTAAACTACCAATTAAAGATCCGTTATGAGGTGACATTTGTGTTTAAACGTTGCTGCTTTAAACTTACAGGTTATTATTCATTTCACATTGAATGTTGACAAAATATTTCAGCTTTAAAGTTGAAAAAGCCATACAAAATGTTCACGTTGAATAAAAAAAACATGTTTTCCCAATGTTTGGCCGTTTCAAGGACCAAAATATTTGTTAAACTTTCACTCATGTAATGAAAATCTGGTGTATTATTCCATTATCAATATTCCTGCTTGACATGCCTCGTCACACCTGCAGGTTTGGAATCGAGCTATGAATACTCCTGCTGTTACCTACTGAATAAATAGTAAGAGGCGACTAATTTGGGAACCCCTGCGGAATTGGAGATTTGCCATTGTGCCCTCAACTTGAGGACACAACAGCGACTACATAATCTGCTGTACCAATTGAAATAGTTAGGATCTTAATATTTCTCTCTACTTCTAACTGCGTTTTAGTTCGTTATCCCCTGCTTGGTAATACCTCACGTTTAGCTTTAATATTGAACGTTCGACCAGATGAGGAAGGCAGTTTGTTCTGTCCCCGGACCGGGACATACCAAAGTCCTTAACAATGCCAGTTGTTATTCTCTGCTTAACTTTTAGCGTTAAGGGTAATGGTAACATTGATTCACCTGTTGTCAGTATAACGTGATCGGGCGGATTGCTGTGCTTGGGGCCTACGGCATAGTATTTCAGTGAGATAGCACTATAAAGTCGGCATCAGATCCGCGCTATCACAAGGAGGCAAGTACACTAACATTACCGGTCCCAGCACACATACACACATGCACGTATCTACAACATACTCGGAGGCACGTCCTTAAATGATCTTTGCTGTTAATATGACGTTAAACTAAATAAAACCAACATAACCAGCCTCGTTTGACCTCGTTTGTTATATTAGAGCCAACGCATCGTATTACCAGGGTAGCCTTCCCAACACTGATGTTTGGATAATAGCTATGGGGTCAAACAAGGCTAAATGACCACATTGAGCTCGTATACCCTTAACCCATTTTCAAACAAAACTATTTGCTGTGCCTTCAACGATGGTCTAGACAGGTGGCAGTTTTATAAGGATGAACACCCAAACAGATTCTACCGTACTCATTTTAACAGCTTTGTAGTTAGTTTTCTATTGTATTCAATGTGAGTGTTCCAGTTCATCAATGCGTTATCTGTAAAAATCGATAATGCGGTAAAATTTGGTCCCCGCTAAAATAAGTACTCTTACAGCATTTGCAAAGCATATGTTTCGCCTTAGACATTTTCATATTTTGTTCACGTGAGATATATTCACAATGTTTTGTTGTTACTATTCGGTATACTTTCATCTGTTTATTAAGGAATCCATGATTTTATTCTTTTTTTGTGTCGCTGTCCTCTCGTTTAACCGAGTTCTGTTTCATACAAAATTTAGAAAGTTAATTTAATTTAGTGTATTGACCTTGTTACGTTCTTCTTTTCCTTGTTTATGTGTGACGTCGAAAACTCAAGATGTACGTTCTAGGATTAACAAAACTCACAGAAAACACTTCCCGTATTTTAATGAAATTATTCAGATTTTTTTTATAGAGAGATACTTGTTTAAAAGCATAATACTAAGAATAAACTAAATAATAACCACGCTGACACTCTTCATCTTCCAATCGATTTACAAACCCAATTGTTCTAGGGGTCAAGTTAAATTACTTTGAAACAGCGATGCATTTCTTGGTAATGTAGCACTTGTCGTTACCTGTCAGTTTATACTTGCTTGATTGACAGACTGGCATAAAGCAAGTTTATGAGATACTGATATGGATGTATAGTTTGGGAGTGACATCTCTTTTTAATCATACCCTATCTAGATAACCTCATTTCCGCCCTGTTAACCTCTCAAAAAGCTATAAGCGATATCAAAGTTAGTTCAACAGGAACACGGGCCTCTATGTGACAGGGAACTACCTGTCCGAAACACCGGGACACTGCTGTAACACGGCGCCAAAGGAAAGACACACCAAGAGAACTACCTAACCGACACACCGGGACACTGCTGTAACACGGCGCCAAAGGAAAGACACACCATTGCTGAGACTACTGTGAATAATGACAAAAATCTTTTCTGCCGAGTAAGTTGAATACGACTTATGTAATCAGTATTATTTGTATACCCTATGCGTATGCATTTAAAATATACATGATATTTGAAGATATGTGTAAATAACTATTTTCGGATTTAGAATAATTACACGTATGGATAATTTGATATTTGATTCTACGTATTTTTTATGTAGTTTATTTTAACGAGTCTATAGTTGCGTATCATTTTTGTACATTTAAAAAAATATTTTCATCTTTATAAGATTAGTAAATTTGCATGTTCCCAAAAGAACCCCTCACGTGTTGTTTATATATCATTAACGATACACAGTAAATTTACTTGAATTGGTGGAAATATTCCGTCTAATAGCAACAATTTCGTAGTAACATGCATCGGGACTCCGCGGAGCAGCAGCAGTAATTTTCATATCTGGCGATTTGTTGCTTTGGAACTTGCGCGATCAACATCTATTTAAATGAATACATTTTGATGTTCGTGTTTTAGATTATATATTTGTTCATAACTGTTGTTTGTATTTAATCTGATATATTTTCAACCGAAATTTAGTTTACTAATTTTAATATACATAAACAGTTCTCGTTTTGTAAATAATCAGACTTAAGCGTCTTTCAAGTGGCATACTACCTACAAGGATTAAGGAGTACTGCTGACACCTATATACGTTGTACAATATAGTGGCATACATTACGTCACACCGACGTGACAAGATTAATTCGTATATTTATAATTTCAGGATTTCTATTTATGAGAATTGCTAACTTATTTACTCATACTGTTGTTTGGAATTTTGTTTTGGTGTATCATCAGTTGCTGTTATCCATTAAAGATGTCATACATTTATGTTAACTTTACTGACAAGACTTTGTATTGTCCTAAATGTCCAACAACCGTAGTCTTATCACCGGAACGTTGTTTTTTTGCTTTATATGGTGACATTGCATCGCAAATGTAAATATATTATAATAAACTCATGACATTCCTAACCTGTTTTTTATATCACCAAAGAAAACCAAGAGATTCGTTCTACAACACAACAATTTACACAAGATATTCCTGTTGTTTCGAAGTATTGTTTCTCACCTAACTCGTTTATAAACTTTGTCGAACTTGCTTGAATGTTCGATGTTTATATATCTGTTAATATCTAGTTATAGTAAAATATATATCTCTGTTACAGTCTGCCAATCACACAAGCTTTTAAACTAACCAGTCGCTTGCGGAAGCTGAACGACTCAGGAGACACTTTCTGTCAGAGGCTGAACTTATTTGTTGCCGCCATTCTCTTTATCCTGTCATTTCTGTCGTATGGTGTCGACGTCATTCTCGCCAAAGACAACGAAGGTGTATCTGTATACTGCTACTGCCCGGCCGAGTTTCCAACGTCACGTGTCCACTTCACAAACTCCGTGTGCTTTACAAAGGGGTTTTATTATTTACCATTTGACGAACCGCTGTCAATCCCAGAAAGTCTCCGTGCTGTGAATGACAACGACAAGGATAACGAAGACGAACTTTTAAAGTACTATCCATGGGTCTCTCATATTCTGCTCCTCCAGGCGACCTTGTTCTGCATACCACGGTTGCTATGGAGCCTTGGGGCCATCAGAGAGGGGTTCCATCACGTCAGCGCTATAGATATGATGGACAGACACATCTTTGGAGATAAAGACAACGATAACGAACTTAAATCCAAGGGTGTTAACAACATTGAGAACTATCTTACCCGCCTTATACAGTTACGAGATTCTGCAATTTGTAATTCCAAATTACTTCCCTTTATTCCTACCGGATATTGCTACACAGTTTGGTTCATGGCAACAGAGTTTTTGATGATAGGTAACTCTGTTTCGCAGTTTTACCTTTTAGACTTTCTACTCGGAATAAACTTTACCAGGTTTGGTATCGATTACTTATCACAGGTACCCAATTTATTGTGGGAAGATCACAGCAGATTTCCTAGAACAGCTTTTTGTGACCTGAAAATTCGCCAGCATACTAACATTCATACCTATACTGTACAGTGTGCACTGCCATCAAATATGTTAAACGAGAAGATATTTCTCCTGGTTTGGGTGATGCTTCTTTCTGTGTCTGCTATGAACGTGCTTTCATTCCTCCATCACCTGTATACCATACAACAAATGCATTTGAAAACTGTAGAGAAAATCAACTCGTATCAGTTAAGAACGTATTTCGATACAGAGAAAGTAGGGAATGTTTTAACTGTCAAACGTTTTGTGTACGAGTATCTGAAGTCGGATATACTAGTATATCTATGGCAATTAAGCAAAGGGCACAAGCCTCTCACTGATGACGTGACACACAGACTATGGAACCGGTACGTAGGCGGTCTGAATGGAGAGGTACAGGAAGAGGAAGAAGTTTGTGTTAAGAGAATGTGACCACCATCAGTTAGGCCTGTTGGAATCCGGAGAAATCACCACATAAATGATCATGAAATTCCCCTTCAAAATTAAACACATGATTGAATATTTGTATTTTATCTTATCATATATTTAGATTTTGTAAATAATGTCGAAATGCTATTGTAATGACATATCGGTATGCACCGTATGCCGTACTAACATGTTGCAATGAAGCGATTTATTTAATTACTACAGAAACATCTCAATATAATGTCCTCGTTGTATTTGCCAACTCGTCTATCGCCAACGTTTTCCGATGTCCCATTTAAAAAAAATAAAAATAATAATAATAATAATATATTCGTCGCTAATGCATGCAAAACAATATTCTGGAAAATACTGAATGGGTTGAATGAGGTGTTTCTGTTTGTAAACAGTTACACTGCAATGCTGTTATGTCGGCTATTTGCTGATGTACTTACATACAAAGGCTGAAATGTTTAGACTATCTTTGAGATGTACTAGTGAATATAATACGTTCTCAAAAGTAATGCTTGTAGCATACGCAACAAATTGTTTTACCTATGTGGTTACATTCAAAAGTATCTGGGAATTGAGGAATAGTACTGATAACAATTGCCTGTGTTTTGAAGTGAGGCCACCAATTGTAGAAGGGTCAAAGGCTGATGGAGTCAGCAAAGTCATGTTACAGTGTATTTGAAGTTACAATCCACATTGCATCTAAATAGTGATGTGGTGGCGATTGAGATTTGGTCATTTTATATAAGGCCAATGTAACCGAAATGTAAATATGGAAACTAGACAAGTAGAACTCTCTGTTATAAATACATATTATCATACACATGAACATCAACATCAATTTGGTATTTGAGCGTAGCAGTTCCTTTCAATAGCATAACATAAGAAATACATATTTTGTCATCGAAAATAAACATCCGCAATTATTATGCCACGCGTCAATAAAGTAAAAAAGCATACATAGTGTGAATGTGATAAGACTAAGAATCGCACCAGGGATATGTGACTGGCTATTGGAATTAAAAATAGCAGTCACATTAGGGATGCCCGTAACTGATGTAAATGATTTGCTCGTTGCTTAGTTAAGAAATGACGGGGTTTTACACACATGCGCCTCTCTTTATACAGTAGTTTGTGAAATTTGTATTTCAATCTTTTTAACTCCTACCATTACCAACGGGTCCTAGATGGACGAAATAGCTGCATTATGTAATTCGTTTATTTTGGCATTCTGTAACTGTTACCAAATTGTAAAGGTGCATCATAGGTGTACTGTCTGTTACGTCCATCCAACATTAACCTAACAATAAATAAAAGCTAGCTTTTCATCAAGCAAATGTTCAAAATTGTACTGTTACAGACCATTCCTTTTTAACCTTACACACATGACAGTTAGCGGATTTGGATGGTTGTGAAACGAATACTAATGTCTCCTTTTTGACAAGCCAATCATTTTATAATTATTAACGAATTTATTAAGCATGTTTGCATATCTTTGAAATAACCATACATAACATCCCTTAATATAATTCTATATTTTATATGTTATCATTTCATTATTATGTAACGTAAACTAAGAGGCAATGCGTAGTTATGCCACTCAGAATATTGATAGCGTCGAGCCGCCATTAAGGTACTCTCTTGATATTTTAATTCAACTTTGTTATTGAATGGTATGATTTGCAACGCTGTTGTTAATGTTGCGTCGTTTTGTAAGCTATTCTAACCAACCAATTTTGTATAAACTATTATCTAGGTATTGCAGAATTCGACTGAAACAATTGTATAAACAATACACACTTCCGAATAGGTAAAAACAACCCGTATACCGGAAACATTTCACAGCAGTTTAAATTTCGCCCATTTCGCCATATTAGCGAAGGGCGAATATTTGTCTGTGTGATAGTTTCTTCGGATTACAATATTATCGAATTGTACAGGTCCAGTTTACGTAAACATTTTTATAATGAAACCTATCTAATCCGGGTAAAATGTTAGTCACACCGAATTTGTAAGGAAGTGGAGATTCACACGTCTTATTTAGTGCCTTTAGTAGAGGGAGGGGTAGGGCAAGACATGTGTTACTGTACAGTGCAACCTTATAGTCAGCTGGTTTATACAAGTTTCCAGATAACACAATTATATATAAAGCTTGCAGTTTGATAGAGTGCAGGATAGGTTTACACAGGTTAAGGTGTAGTTTGACCTATGTAGTCATTTTTGCACTTAAATAAATTGGATGAAATATTGATCATCCACATATGGTATGATTTGTTATATAATACAACTAAATCACGGTCATGTTACCTTACAACAAGTGCATATTGTAAGATTGAAATTTAATTACGATATTCGCTGATTTTTACTGAATAATCTCCACCAGGTTAATAACAAACAAAAAAATTTCGTTTTCAGACAGATACTCACTCTCTAAAACAGTTTTGGGATTTGTTTGGAATTAATAAACACTGTCTGTATTTCTTACCTTTTCATTTCTCCGTCTTTGATTAGGACTGATTTTATTAGATTGGTAAGAAAATCTAATAACATATGACTAATTCCTGGCATAATTAACTGAAACTGATAGAATTTGCTGAAGCATAACCTTACTGCTGGCACTGATTCTCGCAAAAGAAAAGAAAAACATATTTTTGCACAAACCTTTATAGAAAAAAAACCAGATATGTTTATATACAATGCTACACTGTATAGTGTAAATGCGGGAATTCTTGCGTGTAGAAATGTTGGTGATGATGTAACCTTCTGTACTGATTGCGGTGTGGAAGTTTTACCGTTGGCAATGGTTCTGAAATCTTTTATGTTTAAATAATAATATATCAAACAATTTCCCGTGTTGATAATCTTTCGCTTAGCTACTCAACGAAAAAATAAGCATTTCTAAATCGCGAAAATGTCCACTTTTTTATTAGAAAATGATTCAATAATAATGCAACGGTATATGAAAATATTTTTGCGTTAGGGTTTTCGGGTGGCGCTGTGAACAACGCACTTGACTTTCATCAAGACCACAGGGGTTTATATCCCCGCGATAGGACGTGAAAAGTATGGCGTCACTTCGACCACGTGTGTTTTCTCCGGGTATTCCGGTTTCCTCTTTCATTAAAGGATTTTGGCCACGATTTTGATTTGATGCAATATTACGTGTGGTGACCGAGACCCCGTCTCTCTCGGTACTCAGATGATAAACAGGCTAGGTGACGCCCCATCTATATCAGCCTAGTGAATATGCATATTTTGATCTCGGTACGAGGTCACGTGATCTGTGACGTCACAGTGGCACAGCTTATACGATATCCTGTTCATTATATCAGAGATACCCATTCTGACACGTCCCTTTGCATATTTATATATAATCTTCAAAAGTCAGTGTAAGCAATGACAGCAACAAAATATAATCATTTTGTTGTATGGGTGAAATCATCAATCGACAAATAAAGACATCAATTCTCTAAAAGAGAAGTTTTACATTCAAGTCTGAATCAAGGAAATCTAAATCCGTGCCTGCATCAACTACATTCAATGTAGACTGTAACTTTTTGCTAAGAGACAGACAGACAGACATTCTTTATTTCCTATTTTACAAGAGATTAAAGTCAATCAATACATACATATATGTTTACATTTCAAATTACATAAAGATAGCATTCATCAATAGAAAAAGGAAGAGAGTTACAATAATGTGTCAATCTCACACACCATTCTTTCTAGATTAATTGACATATTGATCATCATATTTTCCCACTCGAAGTCTTCTTGTAGTATATTCACACGATCTCCTAATAAGAAACTGCATTGGTTTTCATCCTCTATATTTGTAAATGAAATATAGGAGGGAACTTCTAAAGCATTCACCACACCATCCATCATTAAGTCACGCGTTTCAAACAATTTCGGACACTCAAGCAGAAAATGAAAAACAATATCAGCAGTAGATTTACCCCAAAGTTTACATAATACAATATCGCGTTCAAATATAAATGAATATTTCATTAGCTCTGTTAACTGCCACATGCATTTATGTGATTTTTGCTTGGTACTCAGTTCTAATATGGGGTTGATTCCCTGATAACTGTGTATGGCAGAATAACGAAGCAATTCCGCTTTTGTAGATAGTGCATCTCTCCACTGTATATGATAGAAATCTGTAATAAATCTTTTAATAAAACGTTTCAAGCATAATTTTGGAAGTGAAAATATGTTGGTTAAAAAGTCAATTAATTTTAGCTAAGAGATAGTAATACACAGTTTACACACCTAAATATCTTACCTGTGAATTAAACCACTTGTTACAAAGCTGGTTCCAAATTTCCAAAGATCTGTGGTGACCAAAATACTCTATTTAAAACGAGATATCCTGAAGGGTGCCACTGCCCAGGGAACTCTTACCCATCAGAATGGGTTGGTTTTATTTTGTTTAACGTTCAATTAACATCTAACGTCATTTAAGGACGTTCCCTTCAGGAGTTCCCGGTTTACTAAAACAAAAGGAAAAACAACAAGAACCTTCATAAAACAATGACGGTAAAACTGGGAACTCCTGAAGGGTGCCAAGAGAACCCTTACCTTCAGGAGTTCCCGGTTTTCCGTCATTCATCGTCGGATACCAAGATGAGTGAGTACCAAAGCGAAATCAACCGTGGGTATCCGACGATGACCGTCATTAGGAAGCGCGGTAGTCTAGTAGTAGGACACCGGGCTCGTGACCGAAGGGTTGCGGGTTCGAGTCACGGCACGGCACTGTGTTGTATCTTTGAGCAAGATACTTTACTCCGCTTGATCCAGTCTACTCAGCTGTAAATGAGTACGTGGTTGGGCAGTGCTAGAATTGCTGAATGCTAGCTGTTAGCGCCGAAATGACAGCCCCGGCTGTATGCTCCCCATGGAGTTGAGAAAGACATTGCCTGGTTGCAAAGGCCCTATAACCACGGATAATACTTTGTGACCCACTTTGAGACGACCTACACACTACAGACTGTAGATTGTGATAAAGCGGTATATAAGAACCTCGAATTATTATTGTTTTATGAAGGTTCTTGTTGTTTTTCCTTTTGTTTAGATGGCTCCTTAATTCCCGTTTATGCTTTTGGTATTAAGTTTTATGTTGTGTTATTGCTGTGGTATCTGAGTTTCTTTTCGTATTTCCATTCATGTTATGAGGTGAATTTATAATAACGTAGTTCAGGAATATCACAGAGCGTTACACAATCTATAGCTGATGAGAGATGATGTATCCGGCTTGATATACCTCGAATAAATACACATGTAGAGCAAATCCCCCGGACCATAAAACTTCATGATTCATTTTACATCATTTATTTATGTATGAGATGGTAAGGTTATTTAAGTCGGTCACAATAGGCCCATCTATTTGAAAATAAAAGCACGAGTAAAAAAAAGTGCAAAAACATCAACACAAACGGCGTAGAACCATGAAAGCTGACTGTGAATAAATAATACTTCGCGTTAAATATGATATATGTGTTCGTGTTATAAAACAAACACAACAACAGGAGTATATCGCCGTGTTAAGTCCGGTAAACAAAAGGCAAGTTAGTCACACAATCAATTAGTTAACAAAGATATATTAAGGTCTGTTGAAAAATAGATAGATATGCTAACTGTTCTTTTTTGGGAATTCAAATACCAATGATAGAGAGTCACCATTCAGGTCGACATGACTACACTGATTATTCAAAATACACTTAACAAACGAAACTCTTGATAGTATTTAGTTTATATCATATTCATATGTTTTCAAGCTCCCCCCTCCGAGACGTTTTAATGTAAGCTTCGATTCCTTTTTATGTCAACATCATGTGACTTTGAAAATCAACATGACGCTCTGTCTACTTCGAAACACAAGATGATAAAGAAATTTGTAAAAAAAACAACATGGTTTTGAAAACACAATTCAACGCTCAGATCTCTACAATTCGCAGCTCAATAAATGGAATATCGTTTTATAAATGTATTGTCCTATCCCATTTTAAATATTGGGGAAAAGGGGGGAAAATGCAGGCATAGTTTTAAAATCATCAAAATTATTAATTCGTGTACGAAGGTAACTCTGCTTTCAGAATTGTGTAATGGTTGTGTTATCGCGATCGTGAAAGTTCGGTCTGTCAACATGGACTTGACCCAATGGAGGACAATACTAGTCACATTCTGTTTGTCCCCCGTCTTCATTCCGTTCAGTACAACTGTCACACCTGTTAGAGAAAACAACACATGCAGACTTATCCCTGATAGTCACGTAAATGCTGCATTAATTATTTGGAAATATCTCCGGGTAAACGACACACTTCGAAAGGTAATGTATAGTTATTCTGAGAGAAACAACAGTCGAACACGAAGTATACATATTAGTATCCTCGGTAGATTCCGCCAATGGTTACGGAAACACACGGAAACATTTAATTCGGTTTCCTATTTACACATAGACGGGGAAGCGTTTTCCAGGTTTAACTTATAATAAAAAAATCATGTTGTCGATCTACTAGCCATGGACTTTCGTTTTCCGGTTCAAGCTGTCACATAGATCTAGTCGTTTTACAATCCAGTCCAATAACTGTGAAAAACTATCACTGGAAGATTCGACTTTTTATCTCAGAAGGCCAACTATTGTTTGTATGTTACATCTGTGACACATTTACCAACAGCAGTTGGATCTAGGTTACGTAAAGGTATTTCATACAGGCTTAAGTCAGTGTATAAAGTATGAGATGGGCTCATAACTTTTCTTCAAAATGATAAAAATATGGAAGTTGGTTGGTATACATATGTCAAGAACAATGTTAATAATGACCTTTGCAGATATTATTTGTTGAAAATATTGTTGACTTGTCGCACCACACTATATACACCTACATGGACCTATATGAAATACCTTAACATAGCTGGATCACACCGGTCCAAATAATGATTGTCAGGTAAACTATTGGGGTCAAGGTAAACAGTAGTGTCCCTGTGTTACATAGTATACATCGATGGACATAGTACACACATATGTAACACATGATACAATACACCAGTAATTGCGTGTATCTCGTTACCAGTCAGAAACGAAACTGCATTTTCTTTGCATAATATGAAGCAACATCAAGTTTCCATGGTAATAGCAAAATGTATGTTGAATATCAGAGCCCTCCCTGAATGCATTACACGTGATAACTTATCAACACCTATACTTATCTTTTTTACCTATTATATTTGTATCTGTCATTGTAGGAATACTACTGTTCATGTGTTGTAAAGCGCCTCATGGTAATTTTGCAAATTTTATAGGGCATCTTATAAATAATGAATATCATTATATTAATTGTCCACCTAACTGTAACATTGATATACATGTTGTCATAACTGGTCGTAAACGATTTAACAATCAATCTAAAATTGAGTATAACTTTTATCATTAGTTTTAAAAAATACATTGAAAAAAATAGACTAATCAGACGAACTTAACGGGCCTTTGTGCTTGATTATCATCCCCTTTCATTTATATCATGTTACATAATAGCTTTGTTTTTGTATATGTGCCTCTTGTGAACCATTTTCAGAGTGACATCATACTTGGTCTTGGAAGCCACGATAAAAGGGTTGCCAAGGAAGCTTCCCGTCTTTGGTTAGCCGGATATGGGGATATACTAATGTTTTCTGGGAAATCCGGAAATTTGACTCGAGGTATTAGTTTAAGTACTATGAAGTATACAAATATATAAATACACTATGAAACACTGCTGGTATTCGACCAGATTATTCAATCCTTCGTGATGGTGGTAAAGACAAGTTTCAATGCATAGGTTAGTGTGTATTTTTCCCGAAATCATACCTTCATGAATAAATCATTATAGAAAAACTACAAAAATAGTATTTAATTTTATGTGATAATTTAGCTATTTATTCCGAAAGTTGATTTTCATTAAAACAAAAAAGTGCAACTATTTATCTTAAAAATCTGCTTTGATATAAATAACATTTTAACTTGAAATTAATGACATTTTTTGTTTTTAATTTATTTAAAATATTTTTTACGCGATTTGATTAAATTTTTCATAAGTTTTATTACATGCCATGCCATATGAATCACTTTCTTGGAACACATTTTCTTTGTTTTCGTAGGAAAATGGGGTAAAAGCGAAGCTGAAATATTTCGTGATGTTGCCCTTTTGATGGGAGTGCCAGAACCTTACACTCTGATGGAGCAAAATTCCCGAAATACTGGTGAAAATCTCAAATACTGTTACGAACTGCTTAAACGAAAGAACATGCTTCCCAAAACGTTTATCATTGTTCAGAAACCGCACATGGGACTACGGACAGTAGCAACATTTGAAAAGCAATGGCCAGGTGATCAGGCGGAAGTGACATTGATGGTGACGTCACCGAATATTTCCTTACTAGACTACCCGGATGACGACGTAGGTGATTTACAAGATGTTATATCTGTTATGATTGGCTATCTACAACGCATCAAAGTGTATGGAGAAAAGGGCTTCCAGAGTTATCAAGACATACCAAAAATTGTATGGGACGCTTTCATCAGTCTCAAGTCATCGGGGATTTACTCCTCGCACCTAATTCAAAATGAATGTGAAGGTTACAAACAGTCTGATGTTTGTCTATAATATTCAAATAAAACGGATAAATTGTCTGTTGAAGCCAAAAGTTTTGAATTTGCAACGTCAGAAATGTTTTTACATGCACCTCTTCCCTAACATTCTATTTCTATGTCTCGGAACATTTTCAGACATAAATTGTGATGTTTAGTATCATTGAGATGTCCGAAAAGACCATATGTTTGGTTTTCTGCATCAATATATCATACTTTCTAAATGAGTTTCCCCTTACTTTATATTTTTATTGATTATCTTACGCCACGATTTCCACGGTTTACAATAAGTTGAAGTAGATATATTTCACCAATTATTGACGCTCATTTTATGTCTAACACTCACGATTTCGCTTCGATTGTGTTGCTTTAGAAGGAAAATGGGTTATTTAAAAAGCAAGAAAAAATATGTCTAGACTTTGATACGATAAAGGTTTGTCATTCGGCTTTAAAACTTTCCCCGATTATTTTTGGTAAGAATCGGTCAACTGTGCCCGCTGTATCATATGAGACAGCAAAAGTTGGCCAAATTCAGATTCTGGCTCTTGACTCTCAATTTAAGGACACCATAGAACAGTGTTGTCCATTGCAAAATCAAAGCTAGCCTCTTTTATCCTGTATAAGGATATTCTTACAGGCAAAGATGGCTGGACCATCACTACTAAAACTATATCTCTACTGAATACATTTTAAAGACAACCTGATGACTCGATCAGATCTTCAGTGTGGGTCATGTTTTGACATGTTCACTATGTTTTATAGCCTTTGTTATCTCGACAGGAGACATGATGGGCGTGGTTATATCTTATCAATTCGGAGCCTATTGTGTTTATAACGTTGCCGGTTGCAGTACATGCTTTTGTTTTTAATGTTGCGAACCGATTTTGTTTGCCTTATTCCTCGAGAGCACATAGTTTCACTTTAAAATTCGGAAGTGCATGAATTGTCTTATTCTTTGGTAGTAAAACGTTTTGCTTCAAAATTTTGAAGCACGTTTTAGTTTAAAACGTTGGGAGCACATGGTATGGCTTACCCTTAAAGAGCACATGGTATTGCTTACCCTTATAGAGCACTTGGTATTGCTTACCCTTAGAGAGCACAATGTATTGCTTACCCTTAGAGAGCACATGGTATTGCTTACCCATAGAGAGCACATGGCATTGCTTACCCTTAGAGAACACAGGGTATTGCTTACCCTTAGAGAGCACAGGGTATTGCTTACCCTTAGAAAGAACAGGGTATTGCTTACCCTTAGAGAGCACAGGGTATTGCTTACCCTTAGAAAGAACAGGGTATTGCTTACCCTTAGAGAGCACAGGGTATTGCTTACCCTTAGAGAGCACATGGTATTGCTAACCCTTAGAGAGCACAGGGTATTGCTTACCCTTAGAGAACACAGGATATTGCTTACCCTTAGAGAGCACACAGTATTGCTTACCCTTAGATAGCACATTGTATTACTTACGGTTAGAGAGCACAGGGTAATGCTTACGCTTAGAGAGCACAGGGTAATGCTTACCCTTAGAGAGCACATGGTATTGCTTACCCTTAGAGAACACAGGGTATTGCTTAGCCATAGAGAGCACATGGTATTGCTTACCCTTAGAGAACACAGGATATTGCTTACCCTTAGAGAGCACACAGTATTGCTTAATTGTATTACTTACGGTTAGAGAGCACAGGGAAATGCTTACGCTTAGAGAGCACAGGGTAATGCTTACGCTTAGAGAGCACAGGGTATTGCTTACCCTTAGAGAGCACATGGTATTGCTTATGCTTAGAGAGCACATGGTATTTCTTACCCTTAGAGAGCACATTGTATTGCTTACCCTTAGAGAGCACAGGGTATTGCTTACCCATAGAGAGCACATTGTATTGCTTACGCTTAGAGAGCACAGGGTAATGCTTACCCTTAGAGAGCACATTGTATTGCTTACCCATAGAGAGCACATGGTATTGCTTACCCATAGAGAGCACATGGTATTGCTTACCTATAGAGAGCACAGGGTATTGCTTACCCATAGAGAGCACATTGTATTGCTTCCCCTTAGAGAGCACATTGTATTGCTTACCCATAGAGAGGACATGGTATTGCTTACCCATAGAGAGCACAAGGTATTGCTTACTCTTAGAGAGCACATGGTATTGCTTACCCTTAGAGAGCACACAGTATTGCTTACCCTTAGAGAACACATGGTATTGCTTACCCTTAGAGAGCACATGGTATTGCTTACCCATAGATAGCACATGGTATTGCTTACCTATAGAGAGCACAGGGGATTGCTTACCCATAGAGAGCACATTGTATCGCTTACCCTTAGAGAGCACATTGTATTGCTTACCCTTAGAGAGAACATTGTAGTGCTACGCTTAGAGAGCACATGGTATGACTTACGTATTGCTTACCCTTAGAGAGCACAGGGTATTGCTTACCCATAGAGAGAACATTGTATTGCTTACCCTTAGAGAGCACGTTGTATTGCTTACCCTTAGAGAGCACATTTTATTGCTTACCCATAGAGAGCACATTGTATTGCTTCCCCTTAGAGAGCACATTGTATTGCTTACCCATAGAGAGGACATGGTATTGCTTACCCATAGAGAGCACAGGGTATGGCTTACCCATAGAGAGCACATTGTATTGCTTTCCCTTAGAGAGCCCATTGTATTGCTTACCCATAGAGAGCACAGGGGATTGCTTACCCTTAGAGAGCACATGGTATTGCTAACCCTTAGAGAGCACATGGTATTGCTAACCCTTAGAGAGCACAGGGTACTGCTTACCCTTAGGGAGCACAGGGGATTGCTTACCCTTAGTGAGCACATTGTATTGCTTACCCATAGAGAGCCCATTGTATTGCTTACCCTTAGAGAGCCCATTGTATTGCTTACCCTTAGAGAGCCCATTGTATTGCTTACCCTTAGAGAGCCCATTGTATTGCTTACCCATAGAGAGCACAGGGTATGGCTTACCCTAGAGAGCACATTGTATTGCTTACCCTTAGAGAGCACCTTGTATTGTTTACCCATAGAGAGCACATGGTATTGCTTACGCTTAGAGAGCACAGGGTATTGCTTACCCATAGAGAGCACATTGTATTGCTTACCCTTAGAGAGCACCTTGTATTGTTTACCCATAGAGAGCACATGGTATTGCTTACCCATAGAGAGCACAGAGTATTGCTTACTCTTAGAGAACACAGGGTACTGCTTACCGTTAGAGAGCACATGGTATTGCTTACCCTTAGAGAGCACACAGTATTGCTTAACCTTAGAGAACACATGGTATTGCTTACCATTAGAGAGCACATGGTATTGCTTATGCTTAGAGAGCACAGGGTATTGCTTACCCTTAGAGAGCACAGGGTATTGCTTACCCTTAGAGAGCACATGGTATTGCTAACCCTTAGAGAGCACATTGTATTGCTTACTCTTAGAGAGCACACAGTATTGCTTACCCTTAGAGAGCACATTGTATTGCTTACCCTTAGAGAACACATGGTATTGCTTACCCTTAGAGAGCACACAGTATTGCTTACCCTTAGAGAACACACAGTATTGCTTACCCTTAGAGAACACATGGTATTGCTTACCCTTAGAGAGCACACAGTATTGCTTACCCTTAGAGAACACACAGTATTGCTTACGCTTAGAGAACACATGGTATTGCTTACCCTTAGAGAGCACACAGTATTGCTTCCCCTTAGAGAGCACATTGTATTGCTTACCCTTAGAGAACACACAGTATTGATTACGCTTAGAGAACACATGGTATTGCTTACCCTTAGAGAGCACCCAGTATTGCTTACCCTTAGAGAACACACAGTATTGATTACGCTTAGAGAACACATGGTATTGCTTACCCTTAGATAGCACACAGTATTGCTTACCCTTAGAGAGCACAGGGTACTGCTTACCCTTAGAGAGCACAGGGGATTGCTTACTCTTAGAGAGCACATGGTATTGCTTACCCTTAGAGAACACACAGTATTGATTACGCTTAGAGAACACATGGTATTGCTTACCCTTAGATAGCACACAGTATTGCTTACCCTTAGAGAGCACATGGTATTGCTTATGCTTAGAGAGCACAGGGTATTGCTTACCCTTAGAGAACACATGGTATTGCTACGCTTAGAGAGCACATGGTATGACTTACCCTTAGATAGCTAAGTGTATTGCTTACCCTTAGAGAGCACATGGTATTGCTAACCCTTAGAGAACACACAGTATTGCTTACGCTTAGAGAACACATGGTATTGCTTCCCCTTAGAGAGCACACAGTATTGCTTACCCTTAGAGAGAACATTGTATTGCTACGCTTAGAGAGCACATGGTATGACTTACCCTTAGATAGCTAAGGGTATTGCTTACCCTTAGAGAGCACATGGTATTGCTTACGCTTAGAGAGCACAGGGTATTGCTTACCCTTAGAGAGAACATTGTATTGCTATGCTTAGAGAGCACATGGTATTACTTACCCATAGAGAGCACATGGTATTGCTTACCCTTAGAGAGCACACAGTATTGCTTACCCTTTGAGAGAACATTGTATTGCTACGCTTAGAGAGCACATGGTATGACTTACCCTTAGAGAGCTAAGGGTATTGCTTACCCTTAGAGAGCACAGGGTATTGCTTACCCATAGAGAGTATTGTTTACCCATAGAGAGCACATGGTATTGCTTACCCTTAGAGAACACACAGTATTGCCTACCCTTAGAGAACACAGGGTATTGCTTACCCTTAGAGAGCACAGGGTATTGCTTACTCTTAGAGAGCACATGGTATTGCTTACCCTTAGAGAACACACAGTATTGCTTACCCTTAGAGAACACATGGTATTGCCTACCCTTAGAGAGCACATGGTATTGCTTACCCTTAGAGAACACACAGTATTGCCTACCCTTAGAGAACACAGGGTATTGCTTACCCTTAGAGAGCACAGGGTACTGCTTACCCTTAGAGAGCACATTGTATTGCTTACCCTTAGAGAGCACATGGTATTGCTAACCCTTAGAGAGCACATGGTATTGCTAACCCTTAGAGAGGTATTGCTAACCCTTAGAGAGCACATTGTATTGCTTACTCTTAGAGAGCACATGGTATTGCTTACCCTTAGAGAGCACATGGTATTGCTAACCCTTAGAGAGGTATTGCTAACCCTTAGAGAGCACATTGTATTGCTTACTCTTAGAGAGCACATGGTATTGCTTACCCTTAGAGAGCACCCAGTATTGCTTACCCTTAGAGAACACATGGTATTGCTTACCCTTAGAGAGCACACAGTATTGCTTACCCTTAGAGAGAACATTGTATTGCTATGCTTAGAGAGCACATGGTATTACTTACCCATAGAGATACCCTTAGAGAGCACACAGTATTGCTTACCCTTTGAGAGAACATTGTATTGCTACGCTTAGAGAGCACATGGTATGACTTACCCTTAGATAGCTAAGGGTATTGCTTACCCTTAGAGAGCACATGGTATTGCTAACCCTTAGAGAGGTATTGCTAACCCTTAGAGAGCACATTGTATTGCTTACTCTTAGAGAGCACATGGTATTGCTTACCCTTAGAGAGAACATTGTATTGCTTACCCATAGAGAGCACAGGGTATTGCTTACCCATAGAGAGTATTGTTTACCCATAGAGAGCACATGGTATTGCTTACCCATAGAGAGCACAGGGTATTGCTTACCCTTAGAGAGCACAGGGTACTGCTTACCCTTAGAGAGCACATTGTATTGCTAACCCTTAGAGAGCACAGGGTACTGCTTACCCTTAGAGAGCACATGGTATTGCTTACCCATAGAGAGCACATGGTATTGCTTACTCTTAGAGAGCACATGGTATTGCTTACCCGTAGAGAGCACATGGTATTGCTTACTCTTAGAGAGCACATGGTATTGCTTTCCCTTAGAGAGCACACAGTATTGCTTTCCCTTAGAGAGAACATTGTATTGCTATGCTTAGAGAGCACATGGTATGGCTTACCCTTAGAGAGCTAAGGGTATTGCTTACCCTTAGAGAGCACAGGGAACTGCTTACCCTTAGAGAGCACATTGTATTGGTAACCCTTAGAGAGCACAGGGTACTGCTTACCCTTAGAGAGCACATTGTATTGCTTACCCTTAGAGAGCACACAGTATTGCTTACCCTTAGAGAGAACATTGTATTGCTATGCTTAGAGAGCACATGGTATGACTTACCCTTAGAGAGCTAAGGGTATTGCTTACCCTTAGAGAGCACATGGTATTGCTTACGCTTAGAGAGCACAGGGTATTGCTTACCCTTAGAGAGAACATTGTATTGCTACGCTTAGAGAGCACATGGTATTACTTACCCATAGAGAGCACATGGTATTGCTTACCCATAGAGAGCACACGATTTTGCTTTAAATGTTGGGAGGGAGATTATGTTGTTTTTTTCCTCTGTGAGCAAACGGTTTTGATTGAAATTTTCGGAGCATTGCTTTAAATGCTGGGAGCACATATGTTTAGAGCATATGTTTTTCTTCGAACTTTGGGAACACATAATTTTGCAATAGAAAATAATGCTTTGGTGTCGTTGCAGTTTTTTTTTCCAAATCAGCTTTGAGTTTTGATTTGTGCAGTATGTTGAATTATCTTACAGTTTCATGTTTCTTCACACCAATAAATGGACTCTTCCGGTGCTAACCTATAATAATAATAGAACGGACTCTTCCGCTGCTAACCAAACCATAACATATAAAACAAGAGGAGTCTGACTTAATTGATTTTATTGGATTCACAGCACAACAGAGTTTGCATTTCCATAGTCTTCATACAGCTATTAGATACTGACAATGTACAGCCTCCTAGTACAGTAAACGGTAGTGTCACAGTATATATAGTACGTCTCAATAGGTATAGTCTTAATGTACAGCCTCCTAGTACAGTAAATGATAGTGTCACAGTATATATAGAACGTCTCAACAGGTATAGTCTTAATTAAGATGTGTACACCAAGTCTTAATGTATATACAATAAAACTTAATGCATACACATAACTCTAAATGTGCAAATGCATCAAGTCGCAATTTGTATACAGTCCTAATTAAGGTGCATGCAAAAAGTCTTCATTTTAATACAGCAAATCTTAACTGATATGTACACAATAAGTCCTAAGGTGTATACATCAAGTCATAATTGCTTACAGTAAGTAAATCTGAATGTGTATACATTAAGTCTTAATGTGTATAAAACACATCTTGATACATATACAACATATCTGAATGTGTATACATTAAGTCTTAATGTGTATAAAACACATCTTGATACATATACAACATATCTGAATGTGTATACATTAAGTCTTAATGTGTATAAAACACATCTTGATACATATACAACATATCTGAATGTGTATACATTAAGTCTTAATGTGTATAAAACACATCTTGATACATATACAACATATCTGAATGTGTATACATTAAGTCTTAATGTGTATAAAACACATCTTGATACATATACAACATATCTGAATGTGTATACATTAAGTCTTAATGTGTATAAAACACATCTTGATACATATACAACATATCTGAATGTGTATACATTAAGTCTTAATGTGTATAAAACACATCTTGATACATATACAACATATCTGAATGTGTATACGTAAAGTCTTAATGTGTATACAACATGTCTTAATACATATTAAGTCCTAATGATTAAACAAAAAGTCTTGTCAGTATCTAGAAGTCCTAATTTTTATTCAGTCAGTCTTTATACGTGTACAGCAAGTTTCAATCTGTATGCATACAGTCTTGATGTTTATACAAATAGTCTTAATGTGTACATTTTAAGAAGTCTTGATATAATGTGTGTGCATCCAGTCATTTAGAAATTCAAATGTTACAACTAAGGTTGCAGGCCAGAGTGTATTCCTGTAACTTTAAGTGTAGACAGAAACAATCCCTGCATACAACAAATCTCAACAAACAAATCCTGTATACAGAGAGAATAAACAACAGTTTTGATACAATTGAAGGTGAACACTATATACTTAACTCTCTATAGAACAAGTGTATCATTCAAGTTTTATGAAATCGTTTTCATGTTCATTAACTTCACCATGAATAGAATAGGTCTTCATGTGTATGCAAGTTAGTCAACCAAAGTATGCATCTGAACAGGTTTAACCCTTTCACCACTAGTAGACCATAATGGACTCATCCAAGAATGTATGGTAGAGCCTACTCAAGTTACCTAGGGGTGAAAGAGTTAATTTGAACACAGGTCAGTTAATGTATACATCTAAATAACAGGTCTTAATGGGTACACAAGCCAGCAAACTCATTCACCCCTACATATCTTAACTGGACTTGCCCAGTCTTTGATTAGGTAAGGTTCAAATGTGACTATAGGGGTGAATGAGTTATTTTATATAATCTAATTAACAGGTCTTAATGGATACATGAGAAGTCTTGTTTCATCTACAATAAGTCTTGACACAATCTGAATGTGAACATAGCTAGCCTATAAGTGTATATAGCTGGTCAAAATGGCAATTGATATACAAGTTTTTTTTAATGGAATGTGAAAACAAACAACTCTTGTATCAATGAGCATTCCATCAAAAATTATTGAATAATAAAATATCTCAAAATTAAGAGGTAATTCCATAATAATTTAAAAAAAATAAAAGTCATAAACGATCCATATTAAAGACATTGATATGTAAAACAAGGTTAAAATGTGGGTATATGAAAAACGTAAGCTAGCAGTCCTGGCTATGGTTCTCTACAGCCTCCGAAACACCACTCCGACACAAGGATGCTCAGGGCTATGGTTCTCTAAGATACAGCCTCTGAAACACCACTCCGACACAAGGGCGCTCAGGGCTATGGTTCTCTAAGATACAGCCTCCGAAACACCACTCTGACACAAGGGCGCTCAGGGCTAGGGTTGCACAGTGTTACTTTACTCACCCAGACAAATTTCTTAAAATAACATTATTATTTTTTTTAAATGTTTTTCAGCATGGTTTCAGCATGGTCTCATAATTGAGAGTATGTTTTCAGTATGTTTTCTTCATTGTCTTGTCTGAATCAACAAAGTATCACTGCACATACCATTGTCACCACAACCAGAGGATAACAGGAATAATTTATACACAACTTAAATCTTGTGAAAACACAAGCAGCTTGAGACAGACATTAACATTGGGTATATATACTCTCGTTCTGTAAACATACTCCACAAATCACCGTTATCAACATCGTATGACACTGTCAGCGGAAGTGTATTGATAAGTATTGGATGTAGAATTCGTTTTCCTCGGATAATTGGTCTGAATATTGGCAACAATTACAATACTGAAAATAAGTTATGATTATGCTTAAATACCAAGTGATACTGCAAAGTCCAGAAGATATTTTTCCTTCTAAGAAAGTAAAACCCCAAAATCATTTATGGAAGTAAAATGGAGGACTTTAGGCTGAGACAGAATTGCCAGTGTTTTCCATCAAACTTTTGATGACTTACTTTAAAATGCTTCACGAATGACAAGAACCAAGGCAAACAGTCAATTTCTTCTGTGTTCACAATGGATTTTTGTTCGCAATTTACTTAACATTATATTCAGGTTTGTGAAAATATGTGTGAAGATTGTACATTTGTTTTAATGACGTATACAACAGTACATATTTATCAATTACTGTATTTAGTTGTCGTTCTATTGCTAGTGGGGGATAACAAGTAAAACCTGGATACAAACACAGCTACATATATAGAGTATTTATATGTGGAAGTGTAGAGAAAAGCCAGAAAACTTAACAGCTATAACTTAAAACAGTTTTATTATTGGACAGTGTGTCAGTCTACACAGTGTGTCAATATACACAGGGTGTCTGTTTGTACAGTGATAACATCACCCCTCCTACAGGTTCAGCTGCTGCCTTCATTGACACAAACAACATAACAGTAACATCTTATACACAACAAAAACATGTTTATACTGCGGGGAAACTTTCTCCAACGCTCCATCAGACACGTCACACACGCACACGTCTCCAGCGCTCCATCAGACACGTCACACACGCACACACAGTTTATACAGTCATCAACGAGCCCCACCGTTTCTAATCGTCAGGAAAATTTAAGTAGCCCTGGATTTACAAATCAATCCATAGGGTTAGCACTCTGTGTGCATTGTAAAGATGTAACATTTTTTTATAACATGAACACCAGGTACCAATTGTAATAAAAAACCAAACTCTCTAAGATAATGAACATCTTTGTCAAAACTAAAAAAAAATCTTATCTTGGTGAGGATAAAAAATACTTTTTAAGAACTTTAGTCCAATGACCGCCAGCCTTATCAGTTTTATCCTCAGATCTTAGAAAACACTTGTATGAAAAATTGATATTTCAAACAGCTTAAACTTGCTAATCTTGAATAACTGAAGTAAATTTAGTTCTGCATTTTTCTATAAAAAATGTTTTACAGAAACAATGTACTGGTATTTAAAAAAAAAAATTTTTTGTCGCATCTGCATTACAATGTCTGTTTGAAATATCAGACTTAAAGGAAGATTGGAGTTAAGTTTTTTAATACAAATAGTCCCCTGTCATATCTTCCTAACACACAAAATAGGTATACACAGTGGCCATTGATATACATGTAATAGAAACACATATTAGAATTTTTTCATACATATTAAAACATAAGCAGAATACTTTCATGGGTGGTCCAATTTCTTTTCCTGGGGGAAAACAAATCATGTTTCTAATGATATATAACTTGTTGAGTTTGAAATACAATGTTAAAATGCACCAAAATGCCCTCAGCAAGTTTTTAAATTAATGAGGAAATAAATTGGGCAACTTTTCATCCCATGCTATTGGATTGAACAATTGAAAATCTGACAATATTACTGGTACAGTTTTTTGACATTAAGGTGAAGTGGTCATTGTAAGTGTGAGTATGATTGATTAAATATTAATTAAACTGAACAGAAAACAAAAAATTAAAATGAGATCAAAATAGAATTCTATCACAACAGATGTATGTAAATGATTGGGAAGGGTAATAACATGAGATGATACAATGACACAAGCAGATATTTGTATCTCTTAAAAAAAATCTAAAACCTCTTTATAAACATAAAAGGCAGGGTATTACCCTAGCACATAAAGAAATAAATATGTTATGAAATATTGAAAAATGCCAATCTATAAAATTAAAGATATGTTGAAAAAAAAAATGAAACATATAACAAATGAAAATTATCAATTTATAAAATTCTACTTTATCTCAAAATAAGGCCATTGCAAAATAAATAAAGAATCTAGGTAAAGATATGACAAAATTAATGTTTTAAGTTCAACAAGGCTACAATTTGAAGAAATGATATGTAACTAATTTCTTAACTAAAGGTCACTTATTCTAGTATAATGAACACAACCTGAAGATTCTTTATGACAACAAAAAGACTACAGTCACAGACAGAACCACATTTCCTTTGATATAACTAATCTGTTGTTGTTTAAATGTGATTAATTTGACATAAATCTAAAGATGGGTTCTCGTTAATTTTCCAATACTTGACTCTGTGATACTATATTCTTGGATGCCTTTATTTATTTCCATAAAAAACTGTGATTTCTGCAAGAGTTATCCTTCTTTAAAAAATTCTAACAATTTACCAGATTGTCATTTTAGTGTTAATTCTGATGTTTTTAAAACATGTCACCATGGAAACCCAATTTTCTAGTCATGACATATATTTTATAAGTTTGGTTTAGTGTGTAACTCTTTTTTATGGAGATTGAATGTCATAGTAAGGCAGCTTGTACCCTTAAATCACCTGAGGCAGCATATACCCTTAAATCACCTGAGGCAGTTTGTAATTTCGGCAGATCATGATATTGTGCAGCATTCATTATAATGTGTCATGTCGTTATATGGTAATAATATTAAAGAATGCAGAATCAGTTATTTTTAAGGACAAATCAGTTTGTATTTAGATAGGGTTGTGAAAACCAAAATATCATTGTTCGATGTTACAGTGAATTACAAACACTGCTGGGATTTGGGAAAGGTGTCATGCAACTACAACAAGGCAATCATCCTGTTTCCCCTCCTCCATGCAATTAACTTGCCCTCCATATGGTTTGGACCAGTTTATTGTAGTCTCTATGAAGATTGGGTATAAAGCTTAATTTCACAATGCATGCACTTAATAAAATTTGTACATGAAAGTAGCTATATTGATGAAACGCTCAGATAGTTTTTACATTAAAAAAAAGGGAAGTCATTCAGTAAATAAACGATACAAAACCTTACTGATGACAAAATGATAGTTTGGAATACTCCGAAGTTTCTATGATCTGAAAAGGATGGGATGAAAATACTGAAAGGAATTTAACATTTTATCATTGTCCTGTTCAGATTTTTGCAACATTTGACAAATAATACAATCACCCTGCCATCCCTGAGATTCCAATATGGGCTCTTTGATATCTAATGATTGGACCAGTCTAATGAAAATTTTAGGGAGGGGCAGAACGGTTATAAATAATCCACTGTACATGGAATCCAACAGTCTAGTTTCACAATACACCAGTTATCTCCCCTTGATTGTTGGATCACTGATATCACTCATTCAACCCCTCTTACACATATGAGAAATACCAACAACAACAAAAATCACCACTGTTGCCTCCCCTTGGTCAATATCAACAGTGTCTCTCACATGATAACACTGGCTGGCTATTGGAGTCATACTTCTGTCATTTACAGCCATAGTTAAAAGTATCACCCATGACACAGGGACCATATAACTCCGTTTCACTTAAGGAAGTTTTCCTGGAAATTGTTTGTTTACCCAGGAACAGAGCTTGTCTTTTCAAATTTCTCCATTTATTGATGGGAATTTTGGAGCAGTTATCTCCCCTTGTAGGTGAACTTTGCTCACAAATCACCAGCCGCTGGACTCAAGTGACCGCGTCCTGTGTACTGTGGTGGCGACGGTGATGTCAGAACATTCGTCAGAATCAGAGCTCGTCGTATCAGGATGCTGCAAAAAAAGGAGACAGGATGTCAGAGAAAAAACAACCCTGTGCAATATATTGTGTTTATAGTTGAAATTCAAACCAGATACTAAGGTAACGCAGGTCTGAAGTTACCGGCAGTTAGCCATCGTCTTATTCCTCTGACGCTTTTAAATACATGTATGAAGAAGAAAGGAATAATCATATGAACATTTTACCATAACAGTACACTTGAACACAACCTTGATAAGTATTGTCTTGTGATGAAGACAAGTCGTTTTTCGATGAATACTATGATTAATCAGAAAATCTATTTTTATAAATCATATGGTTAATAAAATAGAGACCGGAAATGCAAATAATCTTTAGACAATAATTTAGCTTTTTATTCAATAGACTTTCCAAATTGAATTTTTTATGGCATAACATCAACACTTTATATGCCATTCAATAGTTAATTACTTAAGTACACGTCAAAGGTTTTTGAAATGTGTTCATTAGAGAGACCACTGCTAAGTGGTTGAACCTGATGTGGTCTCTAAAAGCAGTATCTACAGGAAACTACCAGTCAGTGTCGCTTTACCTCAAATATGCGGTCCGGGGAGGCAGACACCTGGTTGCGTATCTTCCTGACGGTAAGTTCCTTATCAGAGAGTCCATCAGATATCACAGCACAGTTGGCCAGCTCCATTTGGAGATTCTCAGAGCTGTTGGTGGACAGGAGTCCGTCTGGAGTGTCCTGAGCAGAATGCTCACTCGTATTTTCCTCCTCTGACAGGATACCCTCCGAACTTATCGTGGAACAGTACGACCGGCGATTACGGGATCTCCTTTTGTCGTCTTCACTTACTTCCCCTTCCTCTGAAGACCAGGAGTCATCAGAATTCTGGAGAAACAATTTAACACTCATATACTTCAATCTGTACATATATACACACATAATATAGCTAAATAAATAGGTCTGTTGGAGTTACTTCCCTTGCAATACCTGGAACTCATTTCCTTTAAACTGTTCATCAATATGGTCTCATGGCTGTAAGACTTTATACCCTTCCAAAGACCCGGCCCTGGGATAAGGAAACTTTCTAAGACTTATACATCCAAATTTTACATGTTGAAAGAAAACATATTTGTCATAGAGTTCAGTTCAAATTAAGTGGAATCAAACATACATTTACAGCATGATGATGTGTATATTGATTTATGTAAAATGGCTTGTTGATATGACCCTGAAAAATGAGACAATGTCAACATTTTGAACTGATGTCTAACTTTTTTTCTTAACTTTGGGCTGTATATATATAAGATTTATGACAAAGCTGTCACTGTTGCTACCATTTGTAATTTTTCAGGCTATACAAGTTCACTGCTGCAGGTAACATCACTGCAGACTTTGATAATACTGAGGAATTATAAAAAGTATTAAAGTCAGCTGATGCCCGAGTCAGTTTTATTGAAATTATAAACATGAAATTTAAGCTGTTAAACATTCCGAACAATTTGAATACTTCCTATGTATTGTTGATATTTGGACAAATAAATTTACCTCTCTTAACTTTACTATGATTTACATTACTTGAAAAAATAAAGTTATTTCATGAACCAAACCATGAGTTAATTCAACCTTGTAGTATTGCAGAACAATTAGTCCTTACCTTCCGGGGTCGGTTTGGGTGGCGTTCGTGCCGATGTCGAGGAATGTTTATAGAATCACTGGAGTCTAGACTGCTCATCCGTTGTGCGATATGTGGCTGCTTTGGCGATAGTTGTGGTTCACTAGTTGTGCGAGTCACAGTCTGGTTAATAATGGAGTTAGCATCTATCACAGGAATGGCCGTGCTTGTTGTACAGGTACATGTGCACTCAATTGAAGTGTTCGTGGTTAAATTAGAAGAGTCTATAGGACAATTTAAATTTTCATTAGAGTCTTTTTCTCTGGTGGTTGTTTTGATTTCATTGTTTTGGTTTTCCACTAAATTGTAGAGGGCTTGGGAGGGGCTCCGACAAGGGGAGCCCCCAACTGAGTCCCCCAAATTACTCTCTACATCGGCGCTGGCTCGACTTGAGCGTTTACTGCTGGGGCATGAATTGTCTGTACATTCTCCATCACAACCAAAACAAACATCGTTCAAATTCTTCTCATTCCGAACAATCTCCGCTGGCTTATTTCCATTACTCTGCAGAATGGCTTGCTCCGGAATCGCCATGCCTGGTCCTTGGTAAGGAAACCGTGACGAAGCGAGAGGAGTTTGTTCAAGGCGCCGCAGTGCGACCGACTTCCCCTGGAGTTCATCGTTTAGTACGTCCCTAATGGGGCTCTTGGCGGGACTTCCCATTATGTTACTGAGTGAGCCTTTACTGTTGGTACGGCGATGCCGACTCTTTCTCATCCTCTGTTTAGTCGGCGATGGAATAACAACCTCAGAGCTTGTTGTCATGCTACTGTCCATGTTTGGGTTGTCAGGGCTACAACATATACATACAGCACACATGAGTATGGTGTGTTTATCTTATAATGATTGGGTATAACTATTTATCATATGAATACCGTGTTATGAAGTGTCATAAAGCCATCACATAAATTATGTTTATGTAACGTATGTTATATCACTCCGGAAATGACGTCACAATCAAATAGGAACAATCAATGTGATGTCGCGTCATTGTGAAGCGGATGCAATTTTCATCGTTTCAGAGGCGGCCAAGTGCAAAATATTCGTTTCAGATCACAATCATACAGTTTACTTTGAATTATAAGATAAAAAGAATCTGCCATGCCAGAGCCTCGCAAACATGAAAAATCCGAAACTTGCATCATGAAACTAATATGAAGGGAAACTTATGACAGATCCTCTATATGTGTGAACTTGGAAGTAATGATGTACGATTCTTACATCCCCCACCAGAGTGAAATAATGATGTACGATTCTTATATCCCCACCAGCGCGAAGTAATGATGTACGATTCTTATATCCCCACCAGCGCGAAGTAATGATGTACGATTCTTACATCCCCACCAGCGCGAAGTAATGATGTATGATTCTTGCATCCTCCACCAGCGCGAAGTAATGATGTACGATTCTTACATCCCCACCAGCGTGAAGTAATGATGTACGATTCTTACATCCCCCACCAGCACGAAGTAATGATGTACGATTCTTACATTCCCACCAGCGCAAAGTAATGATGCAAGATTCTTACATCCCCACCAGCGCGAAGTAATGATGTACGATTCTTACATCCCCCACCAGCGCGAAGTAATGATGTACGATTCTTACATCCCCACCAGCATAAGCCATAACTAAAGCACTACTTCAGGTGCTCCCATCATTCAACAAAAACATGATGCTGACACCTAAATTCTTTAATTTTGAATCTTTTTTTTATTCATCTTTGCTAGTTTAATTAAGTCATGTATTACGCTATTTTCTTAGTTCCTTCCGTTCATGGTCTCACAGTATATTCTCCAGACCTAGGAGTTCCTTTACCTTCACAATAAGTCATTCAAATATTATTGTAGTATATACCATATAATTACAATTTAAAAATAGTGAGATTAGGATGAGTTCAATATCAAAAGTATGGAGGTGAGTACCTTTTTTCTAATGATTTATTTGACAGGAATTTTTCTGAGAATCACCTTTTTATTTTTTCATTTTTATCATTTTTATGGATGAAAAATTTCATATCATATGTAACTCCCATAACCATGTCCATCTTGAATTTCTGTGACACATGTCAAAACCATTACATGCAATCTCACCAAAATCTGGATTTTTTTTCTTGAGGCTCTTTTTAATATCACATGCAAGGGGATGATATGCATAAGCAATCTCACCAAAATATCTGGATTTGCTTTGATAAAAAATGACATCTTTATGACCCAGGGCAAATCCTTGTCTCTGTTCGACAGTAATGATGTAGCAATCCTCATTAGCTAATTTGGTTTACCTTTGAGAAGTTAAAGCTTTTGATTAGCTGTCTACAACCTTCTCGATTTAAACCGTTACAGATCAATAGAAAGAGACTGATGATAGTCACGAGGGTAGGCATCAATAATGCTTCATTCTACTTTACTCTGTACAGATGATTTTTCAAGACTCTATGTCTGAAATTTTCCTTAAAATAATGTGCCAACAGAGAAATTGCTTAAATAGTCCTTTGATAAGCCCATGCCCAGCAATAAGCCAACTACCTTGTTAATCACAATTTACAGATGATGGTCAATCGATCAGCACTTTAATCACCAAGGACCGTCACTCAAATCAATATTTCTAAGCACTGTCTGTAGAAATGTTACGTCCCTATAACCCACCTTGTAACCTCTGAGCCAGACTTGTACATGCGCTTCTTGCTCAGTCTATCTATCCGCTCCTGGGCGCGAATCACTGGGCGTACAATACTCTTCCTCTTCTTTGTGTACATAGCCAATTGCTGCTCTCGTCTGTAATATAGAAGAGAACGGTTAATTGTTGACGCTTCTTAGGTAAAATACGGGATGAAATGGGCAATTTTATAATTTAAGCATAACTTTCCCACACTGTCCGCTGTTTTACCATAAGACTTCACAGTCAAAACAGCTGGTTGACGAATTCTAGATCTACAAGAAAAACAAATTATGACCAGCTCACAATGGAACACTAAGACGACCTCCCAGTGAAACACTAAGACAACCTCCAAGTGACACATTAAGACGACCTCCCAGTGTAACACTAAGACGACCTCCAAGTGACACATTAAGACGACCTCCCAGTGTAACACTGAAACGACCTCCCAGTGACACACTAAGACGACCTCCAAGTGACACACTAAGACGACCTCCCAGTGTAACACTAAGACGACCTCCCAGTGACACACTAAGACGACCTCCAAGTGACACACTAAGACGACCTCCCAGTGACACACTAAGACGACCTCCCAGTGTAACACTAAGACGATCTCCAAGTGACACATTAAGACGACCTCCCAGTGTAACACTAAGACGACCTCCCAGTGACACACTAAGACGACCTCCAAGTGACACATTAAGACGACCTCCCAGTGAAACACTACGACGGCCTCCCAGTGACACATTAAGACAACCCCCAGTGAAACACTAAGACGACCTCCCAGTGAAACACTAAGACGACCTCCCAGTGAAACACTAAGACGACCTCCCAGTGACACACTAGGACGACCTCCAAGTGAAACACTAAGACGGCCTCCCAGTGAAACACTAAGATGTCCTCCTAGTGTAACACTAAGACGACCTCCCAGTGTAACACTAAGACGACCTCTCAGTGAAACACTAAGACGACCTCCTAGTGAAACACTAAGGCGGCCTCCCTGTGAAACACTAAGCCGACCTCCCAGTGACACACTAAGACCACCTCCTAGTGAAACACTAAGACGACCTCCAAGTGACACACTAAGACAACCTCCCAGTGACACACTAAGACGACCTCCAAGTGACACACTAAGACAACCTCCCAGTGAAACACTAAGACGACCTCCCAGTGTAACACTAAGACGACCTCCTAGTGACACACTAAGACGACCTCCCAGTGACACACTAAGACGACCTCCTAGTGAAACACTAAGACGGCCTCCCTGTGAAACACTAAGACGACCTCCCAGTGAAACACTAAGACGACCTCCCAGTGAAACACTGATATGACCTCCCTGTCAAACACTGATATGACCTAGTGAAACACTAAGGCGACCTCCCGGTCAAACACTGATGTGACCCGTAAGTCAAACATTGAGACTACATCAGATTTGAATGTTGAGATGAACTCAGTCAAAACATCTTGGTGACTTACTTAATGAGTTCCCGTTCCCGCTTTTCAAGCTGCAGCATACAGGCTGTGAGTTCCATGTACAGGTTGTTAGCCCGCTCCAGCTTCCTCTCATAGTGTTCCCGCACATCCTGGGCGTGTCTGTAAGGTAGACAAATACTCACTGTTATCATCGTAATCTACAGATCAGCAGTGTTGTAACAGTTACAAGTAAATCAGGTTCAAGATTCAATTTTTGAAAATCCTGACTACATGAATTACATATACAATCACATAGGTGTTCTCTAGTGAGATACCGATATAATGACTCTATTCAAGGTTCAAGATTCATTCAAGCTTCAGGCCATAGGCCCATCACTACATGATACAGAATATAATGTATAGAGAATGTATAGAGATGAAGTACATTCAAATAAATGAACATTGATTAAGGGGTTCTCAATTTGATAGCCGAAAAGATAAATTTACCAAACATACATAACTTTTTATTATTTTGGACACTAACAACTGAAAAGCCTTAAGAACAGAAGGATTCTTCCAATAATTTTTTTAACTCATTCACCCCTGAAATTTTATAATGAACTATTCCAACCCTTGAATTGGAAGAGTTCAAATGTGTATCAGACTATTGAAATTTACTAAAAATTAATAGAAAGTGAAATTCACCTTCCACGTCAGTGGACATGCATTAAAGATCTTTACTCTATTCAAAATACACTAAATTAATATGTTTTACTGCTGATTTTTTTCCGAACACATTTTTGTGTTATAAAGTGGTTAAGTGTTATATAGGTTAAGAAAAGAAGGAACGGAAACACTCAAACACGTATTGCCAGTAAGCAAGTTGGTAAATGATTGAGGGTTATTTTATCTGCATAAAATCATAAAATGTAATGACTTGAGAAATAAAATCTTTCATGAATTCATATATAAAGAAATACTTATCATCCCCATCTAGAAAGGCTATCCCACAGGACACTTTCTACTGTTAACCCATTCACCCCTGACGTCACATTTGAACCTTTCCAAATCAAAACCTGGGCCGTCCAGTTTAAAAATGTAGGGGTGAATGAGTTAAAGATTAATAATGGCAGTAGCTATGTATATGGACCATGTGTTTGTGGTAAAACTGACCTTAGCTCCTCCCTCCGTCTCTTGACCAGTTCCTCTTCTAGGTGGGGCATATGCGAGCCCTCACATCGGATCAACTGGAGCTGCTGTGCGATCTCCTCCTTCCATAATGCCTGTAAACAAAATCAACAATGTTCTTGAAGTAATTAACTGATGTCCCACACAGAAAAGTGAAAATCAACTTAGTCAATTGAGATGCTCACAAATGCTATTAAACCCTTTCACCACTGTAGACCATAATGGACTTATCCAGATCAATGCAAGGTAGAGTCTACTAAAGTTACATAGGGGTGAAAGGGTAATTTTCCTGTAGTAAGCCTGCACCCTGCTAAGAATGTTCATGTTTTCCCCGTAGGCATATTACAGGATAAACTTATATTATGATGGTATCAGTAGGTATGTTTCTGTGTTGTTCAGGTTCAATGAGTTATCTAACCATGTTTACAATATGGAGTCTCACAAACAGCCTGTTTCTGGCAGAATATATACATATACAGAGGATGGCTCCATTACACTTCAAACAGCCTACCTGTGACATCTTGAAGTCATCGTGGGAATAACTCAAGAGTTCAGGAGATGCAATCTCCAGATGCATCAGGACCTGACGGAACGACGGTCGATTCCTAGTTTTGGCACTCCTGTAACAAACAAAAATAATACGGATAATTACTTCTTCTTCATGTTCAGAATTTATAATAAGTAATGATAAATTTCCCTCTTATAGCAAAAACAATGAAATTTAAGCTGCGGTGGAATTTTTCCATACCATAATTGATTTTTCCTTCCATTTGGACATTGAGCAGATACTATTATTAATTTATATATAGTTGTTATAGCAACTGTCTGGTTTGACCTTGACCTTACCAGCATTGCTTCATCAGTAACTTGAAGCCCTCTGGACAGGTTGTAGGGACAGGCAGGTGCAGACTGTTACTGCCCACGCCCCATATGATGGCTGACGAGTCGACATCCTTGTATGGAATCTCTGCAGACAACAGCTCCCACAGCACAACGCCAAACGACCTAGAAACAAAAAGTCATCCATTCATACAGACAGAACTAAACAACAAGAGACCTGATAAAGAATCTCTGTCAACAGCATTTCAAACAAACCTTGAAAAATGAATGCTAATATCTACAGACAGGAATTCACAAGTTTGCCCTTGTCAGAAATCTTCCTAGCACACATTTTTCTTAGGAAGCCCATGAAGTGATATTGGAGAATAAAATTTCAGCCATTCTGTACAACATTTTATACTCAAACAATCAACCTACAATTGTACTAAGAATTTCGTTCTGTATACAGTACATACAACAAAACATACATACTTCCTAGCTCAAATAAATTTCCCTCCTGCAAAAAAAGTTACAAAAAAAAAGGGAATCGGAATCAGTGTTAAGATTAACACAGTAACCTAGGGAATCATCTGTACGAGAAGTGAATGAGATTAGCAGTACAATGTATTTGTTACCAGGAACAAAGTGTGTGGCACAGTGGCCTAGTGTTAATTAGTACACTCTAGGACCACCCACCAGTCTCAGTACCTAATTCTACACAACCTAAACTCTATAAGGACACCTGCCTTGTGTTTTCAGCTCAACAGTATACATGTACTTGCTGATCAGTATCTAATTTTCTCCTACAGTATATACATCAATATGAATCGTTATGTCAACAGCCAGGACACTTTTAATTGATATATTGGAATCTCAGGTGGAAATCCTTAGGTATTATATAAATGACATTTTTTTTAACCATAATATTCACTGATACAGTTATGATTTTTTAAAAAGTTAAGATCATTGAAATTTCTTAAAAAAAAAATTGTCATAACTTTGACACAGTCATTATAATCTTGACATTTCCATTACATATTATAATGTGTGTGCTTTTAAAATGTTCCTTTCCTACCTAGATATACACTGATATACAATGCTTTAAGACATGTTAATTGTGATGGTTTTTCTTCATTTTATAACTTTGACAATCCAAGTATTTAAAACCTACCAAATATCCACTTTCTCAGAGCATGGTTCATTTCGGATCACCTCTGGGGCCATCCATGCTACTGTTCCTGCAAAAGACATTTTGGTGCTCTTCTCATTCCACGTCCGACTCGTGCCGAAATCGGAGATCTTTACAACGTCATTTTTTGCCACCAACACGCTGCAAATAAATTCATTTTTTTTCCTCAAAACTTTTAATACTGATTTAAAGCATGGAACATGGAGCAAACCAGGCAACAGAAAATCAATACTCTTCGCTGTTATCTAAACGTTGATTCAGTAGAGAAATCTCATTACCCAGGCAACAACACAAACACAATTGTGTACGAGAGTCTCCTGAACCACCTCAGGATCCCAGGCGCTTCGTAAACAGGATGTGCTATATGAAGAATATACTTCTAACATAGACCTGTTTCTAGGAAAGCACACCTACACAGTTTTACCTGAAGAGGCCAGATTTTAATATCTACCTTGATTTTCAAACAAGAAACCACACCTATTGTCAAACCTATTACTCTGGGTGACTTGGTTTAACTCATTCTCCCCTTAAGACACATTTTAGCTCTTCCGATTCAAAGGTGGGAATAGTTCATTATGAAATTTCAGGGGTGAATGAGTTAAGATTATCACAGTCTTTCTTCGTATATACAAACTAATAAGCCTGACTTGGTTCCTTTGATCATTATTTAAGTATCTAAGATCCATTATATGATCTAATGTCATAAGCAGACTTACTTTGGTGATTTGAGGTCTCTGTGTATTATTTTATGATTGTGCAGATAGTTCATGCCACTGGCTATTTGTTTGGTCCAGTCTAGGACCAACTGAGGGGGAATCTCCTTCCCATCCCTGAGAATCTCGTATAGTTGGCCGTATGGACAGTACTCCATGATAATACAGTAACATGGCGCCTGGGTACATATACCTCTGTAAAACACAATCACAACAGTCAGTTTCTGAATGTAGTATGTCATTAATGCCTTATAAACAAGATTAAAAACCAAGATCTTAAACAAGAGGTCTAGAGGGCCTGTATCGCTCAATAACATTTATTTAATATGGGACAACAGACATTAATTATTTTTTGAATAAGCTTTAGTAGCTGATATATGAAATGAAATGATGCGCATGGAAATGAAAAAATCACTTTTTTTTTCCGATTAGGGTTTAGCATCTTTACAAACACCAGGTTTATTATGAGGACAAGTGCCTTCAAAGACGTACATTACTGAAAGGAAAGAATAGGAAAGACAGAAAAGAAAAAAAAATATATCCCAAGTGAATCATCATCAGTGTTATTCTGACCAACTCAAAAGTAATGGTTGAAATGTCACTGTCTCTGACTTAACGCTCCCTGTCCCAATGCCCTGTGGTTTTTCTACTGTTCTACAATACAGTAATATCCCCTTAACTTCCATTTGAAAATGACTGTAGCATAAGTTTGGCCAGTACACTTCTGTTGACCATGCAGGTACCTCAATCGATTAGAGTGATAGCATACCAATCCAGGCTCCGAATCCCGGTCTAGCCCGACTGAAGATTTTTATTTTATTTATTTCATCCAAATTCTTTCTCATAAAAGTCCTACAAGGTTATAATAGTTTTCTTTTCAGAAATGATTTACCAAAGCTATAATAATGCCATAAAAAACAGTTTCCAATATTTGGTTAAAGTTTTCTGCAGTGGTACAGGGATCCTTAAATGTAATGGTCGAGTAATGCCTGTCTCTGCGACTTACTTAAATGTGATGATGTTTGGGTGGTTAAGTTTACGGAGATTTTTGATGTCGGTTTCCTTTACGTCCCGGACTTTCTTCACCGCCACTTCTTCGCCATTGAGTTTACCCAGGAAGACCGCACCCTGAGCTCCACTTCCCAGCCACTGTAGATCGGTGATATTTTCAAATGGAATCTCCCAGTCATCTGTAGAACAAATACAGGTATGATATATACTTGTTTGATAAAACCTTGCTTATTCAATACCTTAGATATTGCTCAAGAGTGTAATAAGATTGACCTTTTCCAAAACATTGGAAACATTCAGACCATACTGATGTCATCTGAATGCAATGAATAGGAAACTGAAATGAAAGTTGTAAATATTTTTCAGACAAAATTATTTAAATTACTGCTGACTACTGATTTAAAGCTTCCCAGACTTTGCAGCTCAGGACTCTTGCTGCAATTTTCTTCTGTATCTTAATTTGCAATATTTTCTGCTGTTATTCCCGAGTACGAATTAATGTACACAAACAACAGCAGGTTTTTATAAATAATTCATGTGAAGGATTTAAACGAATTTTCAAACGTATGTGCCTAATAAATATTTTATTTTTCTCTTTAAAATATTTTATCGTGGCAAGACATGAACAAGAGTGTCTCTTGGTACTGAATATTTATAGTCCCTGTGATTTTTGTTTTTCTCGTCAAAAGATCAAATTGTATTTTCACTTTGTAAAGGAACACAGATGTGCAGTGAAAATGATTCTTTTAAAGAATATTTTGTTTGTTTAAATCAATGTACACAACAAAACAGAAATAAAAAGGTATTCACATCACAGTGGGACTGTTTTGTGAGCGTTGTCTTTTTGTTTTATATTCTTAAAAACATTAACTAGCGTAAATATTTTTTCTCAAATTACATAACAATAGACAACATTTTTTTCAATCCTGTTAGGTTTTGTTTTCGTCTGCAAAAGTATCACAGCAAAATCATAAGAAATAACTGATGTAGCTTAAACATTACAGCCGTCACTTTTTATTTTGAAATTGCAAAGAAATTTTCCGTTATATATTAATGTCCCTCTGACAATTATCTTTTTTTTTCTGCAGTGTCTTGTCAAGCTCCATCTTGCTCTACACAACCACCCAGGCAATCATAAAACAGTTGTCCTTTTTAACAATTATTCCTGTTTGGTATTTTTTGTCGAGTCCAATACTATTTGAATAATGAACCCTGAGTGTTTTCCCCCTCCTTCGCATCGATCAACAGAATTGTGTTTTACGAGGAACTTGTGGCAGCGTTTGTCTCGCCGATAGGTAGGCCGGCGTCTATACCCCAGGGAACGGGTCTGTGTTGCACTATCCCTCTGCCCTATTGAAAATTTAATAACCCTTTATATCCGGTAGTATTGGCTAAGCCGAGTTTTACTAGCTTTGCCATTGAGGTCAAACAATGGGCCTGCGTTAGGCCACACCGACCGATCAATCAGCGTGGCTACTCTATACCGCTACAACTTATCAAACGGTCCCATACAGGACACAATCCTGTCTCAATTGGCTAGTTCTGAATATCAATATGATATTGTTCCCACTAAATGTCACAGCATATTGGGAGGATAGGAGGGTAAAGAAACCATCAACGACAGCTGTTCAAGTTTGGTCTAAAATATCTCCACGATCTAGTATCTCTCTGAAGTATTAAATTTGAAACAATATAACTATATATACTTTATTTGGGGTGCTCATATCATAAAAATCTAGTCGCTTTGCAGTTAGATATGAAACAAAATTCATATTTCTGCCAGTTAAATAGTTAAAATACAATAAAATATGGAAAAGCAACAAATTTTATTCTGACGCTTTCATTAACCCTCCCCTGTGTTTTTTTATTTTTAATCACCTTCCCTTTCTGATTTTGATGGGTTACTGTAAGCTTACGGTTTTTTAATCACCTTCCCTTTCTGATTTTGATGGGTTACTGTAAGCTTACGGTTTAATTATTCTTGCTTTGCTCCTACTTCTGATGGTGTACTATTAGCTTATTATGGTTGATTAGAGTGAAGGAATGCAATCGTCAGAATTTATTTCCATTTTTTCCCCAAACAGACAACAGTAATAAGCTGAATTTACAAGCTAACAATGTCAAACTCGCCATGATTTATCTCCATTTGATTGGTGCTTTCTGGGGTCAAGGGTTAAAAGTATCTGTCTGCGTGTCTGGCAGACTAATGATGTTGGTTTTGCTAACAAATTGGACATGCCAAACATTAGCCATGTCTGATCAAATATTGATATTTACAGTTTGGACAGGAATTGGCTGTAACTCTGGTCAGCACTGACCACACCATTTCTTTACGACCTTAGAATGACCTTGATGTGTTTTCATTATGTTGCTTCCCTCCACAGATAAAGGAACTGGTTGCTATGCCAGTAAAAATGTCTTTTGAATCCATCTGATGCATATCAAAGAAAAATCCTGCACAATCATCAAAAGGATATTGGGTTTCAGAGAATGTCATTAAGTTGAGCTGTATCATTGGAGAATATGATTGGAGATTGAGCTTTTCCCATTAAGATCACGATAGTGTCATTAGTGTGTTTATGGGGGAAAGCTACAACAAAGAAACTAATACACTACAATCATCACTGTTACAGATATATGTTTTATTTTCAAATTACTTTTTTGTGATGATACAAATTTTATGAATAAAACTAATAAATTTAAGTAAACCTTTTACTCTGTAATGTAATGATGATTTTGACCTTGAAACTGAAACGTTCTGGCTATGCTTTTTTACACTGAAAACATTACGTCTGCTGACCTGGGATTAAGCCATGAGCCAGTATTACCGTGACAACTATAAAACAGAGTTTAGTGTCAAACTTAAGTGGTCCTTTGCGATAAGGAGACATCCCATGTCTTGATCAGACAGCAGGTTTCTCTAAACATAAACTTCTAAAATAAACAGAAAATCCATAAGGTGACTTTGTCTGCTGGATTTTAAGGATAATTTGATTTTTTTTTTACAGATTATAACTGTACGAAAATGGCATCTGTTGGATATTGAACTCCTTAGAAAACTGGTGGCATGATACTAAGGGGGACTGTAAAATAGAATTATATGTTTTGATGTAAGCTTGTAATTCTTGGACCGCTTTATCCCAGAGTCATTAAATTGACAGAGACATTAACGCACCACTTTGTAACACAGAGTTCCACATCTTTAAACTTAAAACTGAATTATATATGTACACGATCTGACCTATACATGTAAGTGGGCTCTCATGCTCAAGTATGTATTCTGTGATCAAGCCAACTTTCTTGGAATTTGCTTAAATCATGCATCGTGGTCAAAAATGTCAAGCAGTAATTGGTTCAAAGTCTTTCTAAATATCTTACATGTTATTGACAAAATATGTTTTTTATACATTTATCACTGGCACAGGAAATTAGGCTTTAGCGCAGAATTAGGGTTTGAGCATGAGAATGTAATTTCATGAATATGGGCCCCGATCTCTTACACTTCCAATCACACAATATATTTTTCTTCATCTTGCTAAAGTGGATGACCTAAATATAATAACATATCATGATCAGTAATACAGTACATGTCACTTAATATCACATTTTGGTTAATATCAAGTTTTTCGAAAACACTGGTTTGCTCTTTATATAATTTTTGTAATGTACCTTCTGTTAATTTCTCTTGCTTTTATGGGAATTCCACTTAATATCATGTACATATATATATACTAAGTATATCAGCTATATATTGCTTGATATGAACCAACACATCACCTTTATGTTTGACAAGTTATGTATTATGAAGTCTGGTAGGCTATTTTGTACAGGATGCCTACCAATTTTGGATTTATTTACTTTTAATTATCAACATGTCAGAACAAAATGTCAACATTTAAGAAAAATAAGAACAGACCAGAGATTATACAAGTGGACATTTCTGTAGAATTAAACAAATCAATAATTTGTGCTGCAAAGATGTAACTGAACCCGTAACAGGTCGACATACACCAAATCAGGTTGTTATTAAACTGTACAGGGATGGACGGACTTGGCAGATCTTCGTATAAATGTAGATATTAAACCATCGATAGAAAACACGAACAAACATGTTCTTAATATGCCACAGTATACACAACACCGACAGACCGATTTGAATTAGCATGCGCTTTTCCAATCTAATAACATGGCCATAATTTGGAAGTCTGACTACGGAAGATCAAGTCAAAAATCAATAGGACAGCCTAATGTAAGAGAATTTTCATGGAAATTCCACTACACAAAACCCGTTTTATAGCCTGGGGCAGACTTTTATCCCAGAAATGCCAAAAGTAGCAGGCTCTTTATACGGCAATGTTGCTTTGCCACATATGCAAATTCGGTAACCAAGAACGGAACAAACCACACGAGACATTACGACTGAGCCTTATGCCTGTGTTGTGCATATGTTATTTCCCTTGTGGGGTTTTGAACAAAGACAGTGATTCTAAGTCTGTCTTGGAATCTAAGGAATTTAAAACCTGTTTGCGCTTGGCAACAGTAAGAGTGACCAGTAACATTTTTCTTGGCATCATGCTTATAAATACAACATACAGGAACTAGATTTGATTTTTTTTGCAGAAACATATGTTATACTGTTTTTTTTGAGATATTAGGAAGCTTAATTTTTTTAAAGCTAGAAGACAGTTCCTTGGTAGTACAACAGTATTTAGTTTTCAAATAAAGGAAACATTTTATGTGAGTTTGCGTATAGTGCTGACATCCTTTGTACCTGTTGTACAATGTCACATGTTGGTAGACATTCTATATGGTAAAATTTGATAAATTAAGCTACTAAAAACTAATCCAACAGAATCCAGGTCACACTTTAACTAGATCGGATATGGGGGACAACATCGCTAATGAGCGATAACGTAGAATAAATTGATAAAATATTGTCAGTCTTAGAATACCAAGTCTTTCAAAACAGGTTGAAATTTAAAACTGATATAATTTTATATCTCTCTTGACAGGTAAAATTTGAAAACCAAGGCAACACCTCAACTTTAAGACCACTTCTTAGATCTGCCATTATAAATACAGCATGTGATTTTGGCTGAAAGGTTTCCTAGTCATATCCAGGGTAAACCAAACTATTACCGTACATATTGACATGAGATTACCTTTTAAAACTTCCCTGCAGAGGTAACAACAGATGATTTCCTTCCACGATTTCTTCCCCATGTTGTGTTTGATTGTGATTCGGACAGCAGACAAACATAAGTGAGGAGCTCTCGATCAGATCTCAACCAATCTTTGTGTCAAATACAACTTGCATAGAAAAACGCTCAGGAACAAATATCAGTCAGATCACAAGATATTGAGTTTTAGATCTTTTTCTCTTCACCACCAGTAGGATAATCACAATTTACTATAACACATTCCTGTCCTAATTGTTTTTCCTGGCACAGTTTCCAATTTTGCTGAAATCCAGTATTTATCCTGGTTCATGGAAGGTTGACTAAAATGATTCTTTTATTAGATTACAAAAAACCCACAAAACCTGCAGAAAGAATTAAGAGGTTCTCAGCAAAATTCTACGCTGACACTAGTACTCTTCTTCTCTTGATGTGAGGATCTGTGCTAAGCAGACCTCTCTTTTCTAATGACTGGTAAAGGGATCTGTCCTGAGACCCTACTTTTCTAAGGATAGCTACGGGGATCTGTCCTGAGGCCCTTCTTTTCTAATGACTGGTACAGGGATCTGTCCCGAGACCCTTCTTTTCTAAGGACAGCTACAGGGATCTGTCCCGAGACCCTTCTTTTCTAAGGATAGCTACAGGGATCTGTCCTGAGACCCTCTTTTCTAATGACTGGTACAGGGATCTATCCTGAAACCCTCTTTTCTAATGACTGGTACAGGGATCTGTCCTGAGACCCTTCTTTTCTAATGACTGGTAAAAAGGGATCTGTCCTGAGACCCTTCTTTTTTAAGGATAGCTACAGGGATCTGTACAGGGATCTGTCCTGAGACCCTTCTTTTCTAAAGACTGCTACAGGGATCTGTCCTGAGGCCCTTCTTTTCTAAGGATAGCTAAAGGGATCTGTCCTGAGGCCCTTCTTTTCTAATGACTGCTACAGGGATCTGTCCTGAGACCCTTCTTTTCTAAGGATAGCTAAAGGGATCTGTCCTGAGGCCCTTCTTTTCTAAAGACTGCTACAGGGATCTGTCCTGAGGCCCTTCTTTTCTAATGACTGCTACAGGGATAAGTGCTGATATCCTTCTTTTTTAAGGATTGCTACAGGGATCTGTGTTAAGACCCTTCTTTATCAAGGAATGCTTAGGGGATGTGTTTTCTTTTCCAATGACATCCAGATAAAATCTGACATATGTCTGACCTTAAACCAAAAATCATCATTCCAGGCGCATATCCTTCCTAAACTTAAAACTTCCTAATGTAATTGAACTTCTGAAGTGGTGTCCAATCACTGATAGCCTTAAAGTGACACAACTGGTGTTGTTAGAATATCCCAAATACACCAACACACTAACATAACCTCAGATAAACACAATGGTAGCTCCATCAAACCTGTTTACATCACATATACATCCTCCACAGCACTTTACGATATCCTCTAGGTGTAGAACTCAACACTGACACTAGCGACACGTTCAAGTCTTCATCGTCACCGTTCAATGACAACTTTGCCAACACGTCAAGATGGCCACTGCTGTTGTGTCTCGTGACTCTACACCTGTCGCTGGTCGATTGGTAAACGCCCATTACAATTCATTCACTATCCATGACCAACATCTGGTAAGACTCCATCCATAACTTTAAAACTGTTCGACTACGGCTTCGTATCAACACTGACGTAGACGTCAAACCGAACATTTGATTCGTTTCAAAGGAAATCGTGAGGTTGATATTGATTGTGTTTGATATCAAACTGTAGAACACTATAGGTAATACTACTGCAGATGTGGATTGTCTCAAAAACAAAAATATTATCAAACCGGAAATAACTGGTAATTTAAAATTTATCACAAATTTAAGCCTACTGCAACACTTGATATATACCAGGTAACAAGGATGAACTTTTGTTAAAAATGAATTTTTAAATTTCGTATTATATTATTGCTGATTTTGCACCAGTGTCTGTTTTGGGTTTTGAGATTGTAGTTTATGGAATAAAGTGGGGTGATCAATAGTACACTATGTAGCTGTGGTAACAGCTGTTCTCTAGACGTCATCATGTATCAAGGTACATATACTCCGTCACTGCTGGGGACAGTTGTCAAGTATCTAGGTATATTCTGTCAGTATCTAGGTATACTCGTCAGTATCTAGGTATACTCCGTCACTGCTGGGGACAGTTGGCAAGTATCTAGGTATACTCCATCACTGCTGGGGACAGTTGTCAAGTATCCAGGTATTCTCGGTCACTGCTGGGGACAGTTGTCAAGTATCTAGGTACATATACCCCGTCACTGCTGGGGACAGTTGTCAAGTATCTAGGTATACTCCATCACTGCTGGGGACAGTTGTCAAGTATCCAGGTATACCCTGTCACTGCTAGGGACAGTTGTCAAGTATCTAGGTACATATACCCCGTCACTGCTGGGGACAGTTGTCAAGTATCTAGGTATACTCCGTCACTGCTAGGGACAGTTGTCAAGTATCTAGGTATACTCCATCACTGCTGGGGGACAGTTGTCACATATCTAGGTATACTTGGTCACTGCTGGGGACAGTTGTCAAGTATCTAGGTATAATCCGTCACTGCTAGGGACAGTTGTCAACGAAGTTCCTAGGTACATATACCCTGTCACTGCTTGGGACAGTTGTCAAGTATCTAGGTACATACACCCCGTCACTGCTGGGGACAGTTGTCAAATATCTAGGTATACTCCATCACTTCTGGGGACAGTTGTCAAGTATCTAGGTATACTCTGTCACTGCTGGGAACAGTTGTCAATTAAAAAAAGAGTACCGCAGGGCGGCACAATATATGCCCGTCGAATGCAAGTATACTTTCTTACATTGAAATAAGATCTGCATCATTCTAAGAGTGTTTAGATGATATGCTATAAAAAATGTAGGAAAAAATCTCCCGACAAAAATTCAAATACTGAAATGAACAAAGGGCAATAACTTTTGCAAAAATCGTCGAATCAAAATTCTTTTAAGGGAGACACAACTTGATATCATGATTATAATGTATACCAAGTTTCAAAGGGATCCGTTGAAAAATGTAGAAGATTGCTGGACAAAAATCAAATACTGAAATGAACAAAGGGCAATAACTTTTGCAAAAATTGTCATATTAGAATTATTTTAAGGGAGACACACATTCATATCATGATTATAATGTACGCAAATTTTCAAAGATATCGGTCGAAAAATGTAGGAGGAGAGGATTGCCTAACAAACAAAAATTTACGCCGGATGACGGACAACCCCATACCTTAATACTTCCATCAATTTTGAAGGGGTATAAAAATGTCACATTGAAAACTACATGTATTCTAATGAGAAAAGTTTGAGGAGATTACTGGGGTTTTTGCAAACTTTTTTGTATCATTTTCCAAATGACAACAGTCCAATAAGAATATGTTTATTTTTAAAAAATTGTCTTCAAATAAATCTGCATTATGCAGGAGTATCAAGGTTGAGGATCTATCCTGTCTTCCCCAACCAAAAACCCAATAATTTTAGTCTGAGGGAAAATAATGATCCAAACTATATTACAAAAGGTGAGAAATCTTAAATGAATATGCAAAAATAACAGCTCCTTTATGCTGATTTAGTTCTCAATAAAGAACACTCGCCAAGGTGTGGCACTCACACCACAATACTTTGCTGACAATCCAATCACGTCATGAATCCTAATAAGGTCAAAGGCCCATTACCTCTGAGACTATTTGTAACAATAAAACACGTCGCCAGACCTATACTCTTCATAAATGTCTCAACCAATCAATACCTGCCAAGACCTATGAATATCAGACAGCTGAACCTTCCACGCTGGACATCACACCAAGGTCAAAGGTCAAGGACACACCTCAAAGGACATCAATAGAGATAGTATCAATGGAGCCAGGCTTGGCAAATGTCATACACTTGTCAGTGTAAAGGAACTTCAAACAACATGAATCTCACATTACACTGTAGGAAATTCTAGTGAAAACGTTAACGAATGTGATTCGGGGCAAAACAAGAAAATTTATAATTATTAAACCACAAATGCTAAGATATTACAAATTGTCCAACAGTGATTCCTGTCTGATTTGCAGAGGCTCCAGCAGAAAAGATAGGTGAATTGCCAAGAAGAGGCATTAATGGCCTGTTAAACTTGCTTGGCTTTTTAAAAAATATTAATGAACTTTTTTCAATTGAGGACCATTTTGATAACTTGTTTAACATTAAGTAATGCAGTTATATGGTCTAGAATTCAAAGTATTTTATCCTTTTTTTGTGTATTCACACTATCAGCTATAGATTCAGATATTGTTTGTCAGAGTAGCTCGCCCTTGTTTGTCAGAGTAGCTCACCCTTGTTTGTCAGAGTAGCTCGCCCTTGTTTGTCAGAGTAGCTTGCCCTTGTTTGTCAGAGTAGCTTGCCCTTGTTTGTCAGAGTAGCTCGCCCTTGTTTGTCAGAGTAGCTCGGCCTTGTTTGTCAGAGTAGCTCGCCCTTGTTTGTCAGAGTAGCTCGCCCTTGTTTGTCATCTCTAGGCTGCTGCTTGCTACTGTTAAGACTTGAACCCTAAAGCTGTAACAATTGTACAACTTGAAAAGAAGAACTTTTCAGTATTTCCCTTCATGTTTGTCTCCCAATTAAAACCTCTTTTTGGAGTCGCAAAGTAAACTAAATCCTCCCATTTGAATAAATCTTGTTTCAATAGATTTAACATTGATTTCTATCTTCTGATTTAAGAAATTTTCAGAAATAAGTCAAATATTTATGTTAACTCATTCACCCCTTCACATTTAAACTTGACTTGCCCTGTCTTTGATTTGCTAAGGTTTAGATTTGAATTTAGGGGTTAATGGGTTAAAGATGGGAGCACATTAATAGATGTCAAGATGCAGCATCACAATGATAACAAGCCAAGAGAGTGTGTCTCTTAACCCTTTCACCACTATAGACCATAATGGACACATCCAGATCAATGCATGGTAAAGTCTATTCAGGTTAAAGGGTTAACACCTCCATTTATATTGACATCTAATAACTTATTATTCCTAATCTACAAAATTATGTGAGGAATTTATTCTCTAAAGCGCAAGATATGTGCAGAATTCTAAAAATGTCTGCATAAAATATTCTTTTTATATATTTTACACATTTCCTTTCATCTGTGAACAATAAATCCGACATTTCTGATACATGTAAATATGAAAGGAATTTGTAAAATGTGTGTATGGAATGCAGATAATTTATTAATATATTCTATGCATTTCAACGTTGCATAGATATACTGTGTATAGCAATTCAATACATCCAAATAAAATGTATATGTACATTCTGTATACATATTCAACGAGATTATGATTAAAGAATAAGGTGTGTCATTTTATAATCTAGGAATTTGACATTTTGATATAAATATGTGAGGAATGTTGATCAAGCTATGGTTGAATCTCTACTAGATAAGTCTGTGTTAGATATTCTATTTATAGTAACACTGATGACAACAGCCGACAACAGCTGTCTACCTGAGCAAAGACACACAAATATATAATCATTTCTTGCCCCAGCACTACATTGTTTGACCCAAAGTCAGTAGATTAAGAAAACGTTTTATAAAGTTCAATAACTTGTATCCTTAATTATTTCATATGATTTTATCACATTTTATTAAAGAAGCTGAAATGTTTAAATTGTGCTTCCTTATAGTATCATTTATTTACATCAAGATTCATTTGACTACATACAGCACAGCATGTAATATTATGATGAAGTCATGCCTTGATAATACCAGCAACAAATATTTAGCTCACAAAATATATGTGATTTAACAATGAAATTTCATTGTCCAAACTCTCCGATGTCCCAGGAAATATCTGTATTACTTACAATGTAACTAAACGTCGCTGATTGAAATCCAATTTCTGATGAAAAGTTTGAAAAAAACTTTCTTTAGGATATAGATACATAGATATCACCTTTAAATAGTTTTGACTTAAACAAAAGCATATGGAAAGCAACATCAGCTCCTGATTGGAGTTCCAGCCAATTAGAATTGATTTAAATTAAAAGTTCATCTCACCTTGCTGTTTGAGTTCATTCTGTGCAGCTTTTCCGATCATGGACCACACCGGACGTAGACAACCTAGCAAACCCTCGAAAAACCCTCTCTGGGCAGCATCCCGGTAACCCACCTCCAGCTCCTCCTCCTGTCGCTTAGCACCGTGATGGGAGGGTGTGACTGGGGCGGAGTGGGCCTCCGTGGGGGAAGGGGTTGAGGAAGATGAGGACGATTTTTCTGTGAGGCTCAGCTGGTCTATATCATGTTCCAACTGGAGCATACTGTAACACACACAAATGTCATCGTCTGATAAAACCATTTGACACTGTGAAAACTGGATCACAAACAGAATTGTATGTCAAATCTGATCAACATATCACCTCTACATAGGGACCACCTCTGTCTTATAAGAGATTTGACTTCACAAAGATTTTATTAAATATTGCATCTTATACAAATTCAAAAGGAATTGGACAACAGGCGTAATGCCTATACCGGCCCTCTCCTGGTATGGACAATGCATTTTTCAATATATATATATATATTAATTATGAAATAATTTAAAAGCTTTTTACATCTTATAAGAGATCATTCTTGATACTTCT